CCGAGTTCCCCCAGATATCCAAGGCCCGCCCGCGCGGAGCCTCATTACGCAAACGCCGCAAAAGGTTTCCATCCTAGATGCAGTCCCTAGTGATTAAACATACAGTGATCATACATGAACTCATTAAAGATTTTTTTGCCTTTGTGGGCTTTAGTCAACTTCCCAACCGCGGCCCACTCCGTCCGCGTTGTCGTCCGCCATGCGGTCATCGTAGTCGCTGTCGCCTACCACACTGTTCGCGCGCGATGACTCAACTTGACTGAGGTAGTAATCATCATCTTCTCCCCAACTGCTATACTCGTCATCTGAGTAGTCCCATTGCACAGGAATGGTCTCGCCGCCCTCGCCGAACCCAAACATCATACCGCGCCATTCTCCAGCAGCGATCTTGGCAGCCACTTGGAGCATCAGAGTGATCAAATGGGCGGGTGGGCCCAGCAGAACCTCGCAGGTCTTGGAAACAATAGCCATGGGAATTCTGCGGACAATGTCGAGCCGGCTACGGAGGAATGGCTGCCGTCTGGTGGCAGTAGTCGTAGACGCGAAAAGGTTGGCCGCTGACGGCAAGGTGGCCAGGGCTGTGCGACCGACCGAGATGCTGCTAGTTGTTGCCCGATGTCGCATGTATGGGCGGCGAGTAACGGCTGTTGTGACGGCTTCATCCTCAGAAAGAGCAACCTTGTCGGGTTGCCCTGCAACTTCGGATGGGATATCCGGTGCTGTTGCAGCGCTCTCTTGAGAGCTGTCATCCGTGAGGCAAGACGTCGCGTCCCAAGTCCGTCTAGTCTCGGGAGTGACTGTCATGTCAGAGATGTCGCGATAATGCCATGGCTTCTTGGGAATCAATATGTTGTCGTGCGGATACGGGAATCTCGTGGGCGAGACTTCCGATGCAGGTGACCGTGGGATCGGAGTCACGGGCGAGTGCCACGACTTCACACTATGAAACGAGTCGGATGAGTCTGTCGGTGACACCGGTTCCTTCGCGTCGTCCTGCTCCTCCAAAATAGGGGTTTGTCTCATTGCTGACTTTGACGGCGGCGAGGTGACGAGAGTCAGCTGGGGAGGGACAAGAGCGCGACCTTTTCTAAAGCTGCGCAACTTCTTCCGTCTGCCAACGCCAACACCGTTGCCTTCAAGAACCTCGCCATCGGTTCCAGAAGAAGACTCTCGGCCTGATCCAGACCCAGTGTCACTGGCATTGCCTGTCTCCGCCTGAGGCTGTACCTCGACAACCTTGACCTCTTCAATAGGCGCTGTCGACGAAGAAGCTGCGGCCAACTTCTGCTCGTAATTACGAATCACATCGTAGATGTTCGTAGGCGTCGGCGTGCCGAGCTCAAACGAAGATGGGGACCTTGGGGTCGCCCGAACGGTAACCAACTGCTCTTTAATCTGAGGTTCAGCGGTCGGGCTCGATGACGATCTCGAGTGTCCCGGAATCATTAATTTGCTAGCACGTTTCTCCGCGCCGTTCTTGTCGACAGGAGATATTGGCACCTCTTCCTCGGCCTCATGCGATGCTTCTTTGACCTTGTTTTGCATTTGAGGACTGCTAGTACCTTCCTTGAACAATAAGGGGTCCAGGGCAGCAATGGCAATGGCGGTGGTGGGGCGAGTTGTCTCCATTTGCTCATCCAATTCTTGCAGCTGGGCCGCCTTGTCCGTCTCATTATCCAAGTTCAGGGGTTCCTCGGCCTGGGAACCGCCTGCGGACCGCTTTTGGACTTGTAGTTCGACAGGTGCCATTCCTGTCTCCTTGGGCTCTGTCAATGAGCCTCCTGAGGCAGTGGCTTCGGGGCCTGATTCAACGCGGCTCTTCTCCGACTGAGGATTTGAGGCATCTTCCGCCTTGATCTTCTCAGCAAAGAACCGACGACTTTTCTCGGCATTTGTGATGGTTTCTGTGGCAGTTTCTGTGGCAGATGCACTGGTCTGAGTCTTTTCCTCCTCAATCGCAGATTCGCTCACGAGTCTCTGTTCTCGGGGCGGGTCGCCAGACCGCGATGTCTCGGTGCTGGTTCCTCGCGATTCGGAACTTGACTGAAACTCGGTGCCAATAACAGAAAAACGGCGCAGTTCTGTTCGGCCTCTAACGCTGAGGGATGCCGAAGCCCTCCTCTGAGTCTTAGGTGTGAGAGCCTTGGGCTGCGTGGGCGATATCTCGTGGGTTGGCAGGGAAAGGACAGGCAGAGCACCCTTGACAGGAGGCGTCCATGGACGCTTCTTTACTGGCGTCTTTGGCTTCTCGGGGAGCGCAACGGTAAACGACCGCTTGAAGGGGCACTCTGTCTTTTCGAACTGCAATATCTGGGCGAGTACAACCTTGAAAGCTGCAGCTAGTTCTTGCTCAGTAGGATTGGTGACCGGGATCTCTATTCTCCAATAGTTGGGTCGACGTATTTGCAAGACAAACTTGCTCGAGTCTTCTTCCAAAGCCCAGCATTGGCTCTTGGGAAGCATTGGCTGCAGGGCGGAGCCACAGTTGAGAAAAGCCACGGAGCCAGTACGATATATGCGAAATGGACCTGGACGCACAAGTGTCAGCGGATGATGTAAGTCTTGGAGAGATATCGGCCGGACTGACCGATTGCAATCGTCCTCTCTAACTGCGAATACGGCGACAGAGTGCCAGGTTCGTCTGCGGGGCCACGGCCGGGACTCCGAGCGCGGCCTCTGGAGGCAGCAGAGAACGCGACAATCTTGACATTTGGATGGTTGTATAATGTTTCGACGAGGCCACCGACTGAAGCAGATCGAGGGGCGGGTACGGGCGAGGTCGTTATCGGGGCTGTCGCGACACGGCGAGGGGCCGGGTAGTTGTTGCGGAGGGACTCCATTGTGGTGTCCCTGGATAAGGGCAAGAGAGAGAGTGGACGGCGTCAATCGTAGCTGATGGTTCCGTCACGTAAGGGCAGGTTTGGTCAGCTGATGCGAGGGAACGAGGTTGGCCTTGGGTCATGTCGATAGCGGGTTTGGGGACATGGCAGGCTCCCGGGGATCTCTTGATTTTTCCGTGCCGCTTTGTTTGTCGCAATCTCCGTTACGTTCGTCGCGGCGTCTGTCTTGCTTTCACGGGGAAGAGATGTGATGGCAAGGGGGGCAGAAAGAGGGAATTCGAGGAATCCGATCGGCGGGCGGGAGTTGCCTTAGGGAAGGAAGGTAGCGGCGCGGGCAGGCAAGATACGGCAAAAGAAGGTAAGGTAGGTTAGGTAAGGCAGGTATGAAAGAGAGGGACAGAATTAGAATTAAGGACCCCTTCCGAGCCGACAAGATCGATAGTTATGCGATGTCTTGCGCGGGTCTCACTCAGCAGCCGTCCAACCTCTGCTGCAGTGCTTCAGACGAAGAAGAAACCACTCTTGCAGCAAAATGCAACGAGACAACCCCACGAATCGGAGACGAGACGACACTGAGAAGGAAAAAAAGGTTTTTGGAATGGTGGATGGACTGAGGACGGTTGGGGAAACAAGCAAGGCTATGCCAGGGTGCAGCACAACCTGGAAAGAAGCTTGGACGGATTTGCTCATGGTTCGACCAGGGGGCGGTAGTGTCACGGCTTCCTGGGGACTCGTTCGACGCACCACGCGCCGCCGGGGGGGTTCTGACGCTGCCGGTTTCCTGCCAATGCCTACCACAGCGCGTCTCTGTTTGATCCCCTTGCTCTTATTTGCGACTGCTGTGCAAGACCCTTACGATCTGCGCGGCCATTGGGCACGAACCGCAGAAACACTCGATTCCAGTCGTCCGGGACAGGACTCAAGACATACGATCTTTTGCCAGACGGGCCACGGGCGTGGCCATTCATTCACATGTTGTGTCTCTTGTTCCCGGTTGAGATTGAATGATCCCCTAGGATATGCCATGCCCCTTTCTAACTGCCACTCGTGCTTGGTACCTACCTTAAGGGGTATGATGCATACCGCCTCAGTTTAAGGTACCTCTTGTGCGCAACGGACGCAAGCCATTGCACTAATCAACCAACAGCGCGTCTCGTGATGGTGCCCGGCCCCTCTGCATCTCGTCAACCGTCAACGTACTACGTACCATTAAGATTGAGATTGCTACGGTGCGCGAGTAGTATCCGAGGCTATTGGGATCGCGGCGGGGACAACCGACGTATCCCAGCGCAAATACACCCTCAGCACAGCGGCTCTGATGGGGAATTATGGGGGATCCCGGGCGCAGAAATCCTCGCTAGGGGAATGACATGCATTGGGGGGTCCTCAACACATTGTCACTCACATTCACAACCCAAGTGAGGCCGAGTGACGGGAGAGTCAAATTCAAATGCTCAGTGCCCTCCGTCTGTGTTGTTGATGGTGCTCAACTGCAACCGAGGTTGACTATGTGACTGTGTCTCGACGTGCGCTCATCGCATTCTTGGACTTCGACTGAGCTTCCATTTTGGTTCCACCGGGTCTCCCATGACAACTCCCGGCCCAAAAAGCCTGCATTAAGAACGCGGCCCAAGATCCGAGCAATGCGGCAGGGGTTGCAGCTGTAGTCGATGAACACGTTTCTGGGATGCAAGTTCGACGCGTGGGCAGTGCGTGCAGCTAACTGCGGCTGCAGCTGTAGCCAAAGGTAGCCGCAGCATCCCGCCAACATGAACCGGTGCTGCAGCAGCGACGCCCACACGCCAAAAGTTGCATCCATCCGTGAGAGGTGCCAGAGCAGAGGACAGAGGACAGAGGACTTGCAGCTGGCAGCCAGTGTCATTCAAGTCCCGTTGAGATAACGTAAGCCTGTCAACTGCACGGACCACACCCGACCGCCCTGCGCAGGTGCCCCTCCCAGCCGTCAGCCGTTATTCCCGGAAGTGTCGTCATCATTGGATCTCGCCTGCCAAGTCAGCTCGAGCTCAGCTCGTTCTGGCCAGCAGCCCTGGTCCTGTCTGACGAGAGCTCGCGTGCCCCTCCAACCCTCGTCGTTGCGAATCCTCAAACACAGAATATTCTGCGTTGATCTGCACAACCAACCCAGCATCCGACGACACCATGGCCACCGAAAAGCGCGTAAAGCGCGATATCCTTCCTTTGGACAAGCCGCCACTGGACAAGCTCCCTCTGGACAAGGAGACCCTGAAGCAGGAATTCGACCTGTCCCACTTTGACCTCAACTCCGTCATCCGAGGTGCTCAATTGACCCTGGTCGGGGGTAAGTTGTCCAAGGCCGCCAGAAGCATCATGTTTTGGAACAGAGTAGCTGACTGCGAGAAGCGCACCGAGCGTTCCAGAATCCGGCCCTCTTCACCTCCGATCACTACCGACAAGCCGGCGTTGCTGTCCTGACTGGCCTCGCCATCCGCCTGATAATCTCCGTGCCCGTAAGCCTCCGGTCGAGCCGTTCGAGCGAACAAACATTGTCTTGCAGTTGAAAGTTGACAAGCGCCTAGATCATTGGTGTCAAGGTTCTTCTTTGGTTCATTTCCCTGCTCTTTAGCTTGGATCATGTTACCTGGGACGAGAAGCTCGTGGGAGGCCTCAACTTCATTGAGGAGTACGTCCTCCAAGTGCCCTTCTTCCTGATGGCCTTGATGCGATATGTCACTCCTACTTTGGACAACATGTAAGTCCACGAGACCTGTGGTCGACCGGAATTTGCTGACAGGTCAGGTTCATGGACTCCCTCAATTGGGTTGACAGGACCTACGTCCAAAAGCACAAGCACGATGACCCTAACCACCTTCGGGATATGTACTATCCCAACTTGAAGCAGTACAAAGTCAGCGACGGCAGTACTCACTCCACCAGCACGGCCGAGGCCGTCAGCATGTTCCTCTACCGCTTTGCCCGCAAAGGCGCCATCTCCCTCGCCATCTTCGCCCTCTCCTACGTTCCCGTCGTCGGCCGCTTCGTGTTGCCCGCAGCCAGTTTCTACACCTTCAATAAGGCCGTTGGCTTAGGACCTGCTTCAGTCATCTTTGGAACGGGAATATTCCTGCCAAAACGTTACCTCGTGATCTTTTTGCAGAGCTACTTCGCCTCCAGGAGTTTGATGAGAGAGTTGCTGGAGCCTTACTTTTCACGGGTACACTTCACCAAGGAGCAAAAGCGGAACTGGTTCCGCGAGCGCGAGGGCGTTTTGTTCGGCTTCGCTATCGGCTTTTACACCATGATCAAGATCCCCCTTGTCGGGGTTCTGATTTACGGCATTGCGGAAGCTTCAACGGCATACCTGATCACCAAGATTACAGACCCTCCTCCGCCTCCTGCCGAGAAGGCTGCATTTGCCGAGAGCCAACAGCAATGGACCAACAAGCATGAGTTTCTCAGCTTATCGCTTGCCAACATGGATGCCATTCACAATAAGCCATCGGGAGAGACGCAAAAATCACGCTAAAAGCTTCTGGAAAACGTCGAGTGCGCCCTATGGACATGTCAGGCGTCAAAGACAGTATTAGAGCCTTCTTATCCAATAGCAAACCCCTGTTGTCACCTCTATCGTAGATTGCTTAGCGCGCAAGGTACTCTGGTATTGCTGCGCCCACAAGGCACAGCGAGCATCCACATCAGATGCCGAGATAACTACCAAAGCGACCCCCAAATCAATTACGTTTCAAGAAAGGGTCTCCATGCGGAATGAGATCACCATGGAAGTCTTATCGATTGGCGTGCCAGGTGCGCTTCCAGTCGGCCGGCGGCATAACCCAGACGTTTTAATGCGGGGGTTGCCAGATAGAAGCCTGATACGGCAATTGGAGGGGAACTCTCTTATCAGACGCAAGCTCCGCACTGCTCCCGGCCCCAGCACCGTAACAGTCGCCTAAGAACTAATCGCTTCTTCGTTTGCATTCTCCAACTGATAGCCAGCCGTGGCAGATGAGGCGTTGTTTGGTGCATGGAATAGCCCATTCCGAGGAATGAAAGGCGGGGTAGTTTGGAGGCGTTGGCTTGGGCTGGATGTTCTATATCTAAAGAGGCCAGCCTGTTTGGGGTTGGCTATAGATTCTATGGACACCATCGCCCTCAAGTCCAATACACGCATGTTTCTTTCTTGAAAGCAATCAGATTCCGCACAGTTGACTCTCAAACCATAATTCGTCATGGGAAAGACTGCTATTCGGACGGCTAACAAGGTCAGCTTTGACAAGGCGGCCTCTGAACAACCTGGACTTCATGTAAGTTGATGTCATCGGTGCGCTTGAGATGCTGCCCACACTCATTCATGCAGAATAGATGGCACCCTGATAGTAAGTGATCAATATTCGAACTAAGTGTACCTGCTCTGGCATGCCACCAGCAAAGATCACATGAACGGTTCTGCATGCAGTGCCGTCGACGATCGTTGTCATCTTCGTTTCTGTGCTCATCTCTTCACCCCTTCACCTCTGATGTAGTAGTAAGAGCAAGGTCACTCTCTCTGACGCTCTGCAGTTCCCTTCTCCGGAACAATCAAGGATGGCGAGACGGTCAAGATTGAATGCGTAGACTGGTAAATCCTCCCATTCTCCCAACGGTGTTATCACAGCTCAACTTCATCTCAGGACCGGCGGCCAGATTGGTAACAACGACTCCGCAGACGACATGCTCAACGTGGATCTCACCAAGATCCACTACCTCTCGGGTCCCTTCGAAGTCGAAGGCGCCCAGCCCGGCGATCTGCTCCTCGTCGAAATCATGGACGTCCAGCCCTTCGAGGACCAGCCGTGGGGTTTCACGGGCGTCTTTGACAAGAACAATGGCGGCGGATTCCTTGACGAGATCTACCCGACCGCGTATGTTGTTTTTCTCATGATTATCCTCGTCTTGCAGGAGCTGGATGGTCTAAGGACTGACATGGATGAGGGAACAGCGCAAAGGCAATCTGGGACTTTGAGGGAATCTATTGCACATCGAGACACATCCCCGGCGTCAAGTTCGCGGGCCTGATCCATCCCGGCATCCTGGGCTGCGCGCCCTCCGCCGAGGTCCTCGACACCTGGAACACCCGCGAGGGCGAGCTCATCAGCGCCAACAAGCTGGAGCGGGACGTCGCGAAGCCCCCCGAGCCGATCAACGTCCACGCCGGCGCCGCGGACGCTGCACTCAAGGAGAAGGTGGGGAAGGAGGGCGCGAGGACAATCCCCGGACGACCGGAGCACGGGGGCAACTGCGAGTGAGTTTGCAGTCTCGGCGAGTCTTTGCTGGATGGCAGGATGCTGACGGGGTCACAGCATCAAGAACCTGAGCAGGGGAAGCAAAGTCTACCTCCCGGTCCACGTTCCCGGTGCCAAGTTCAGCGTCGGCGATCTGCACTTCTCCCGTAGGTTTCCCCCTCGAAGTAGTGTACCGATAAAGAACGAGGACTAACACGCGAACCAGAGGGCGACGGAGAAATATCATTCTGCGGCGCCATCGAGATGGCCGGCGTCATCACCATCAACTTCAAAGTGATCAAGAACGGCGTCGCGGACCTCGGCCTCAAGTCGCCCATCTACATTCCCGGCCCCGTCGAGCCTCAGTTCGGCCCCGGACGACAGATTTACTTTGAAGGTTTCTCCGTCGACGAGCACGGCAAGCAGCATTACATGGATGTGACGGTTGCATATCGGCAGACCTGTCTTCGTAAGTTCTCTTCCCCCCACGCCACTTTCCCCTTGAGCGACACAAGAGATAAGGGTCGGAGTCGACCTCACCGGATGAGCTGTCCAACGGAAAAAAAGATGATATGCAGCGATGCTAATATTGGCAAGGCGTCATCGAGTACCTCCGCCGCTTCGGCTACAGCGATTACCAGGCCTACCTACTGATGTCCTGCGCTCCAATTCAGGGCCACGTGGCCGGCATCGTCGATATCCCTAACGCATGCACGACTATCGGTCTGCCGATGGACATTTTCGATTTCGACATCTCTCCGGCTGCCGGCAAGGTTGAGAAGCGCGCCTTGGGCAGCTGTGCTTTTGCTACCGGGGTGACGGAGGGCAAGATCACGAAGGGTGGAGAGAACAGTGAGCACAGCTACGGTGGCGGACTGACTTACAAGAAGTCTGTGGTGGAAGATGTGAAGGACAAGGTAATGGGCGGCGTGTGAGAGACGGGCTGTTGTCTAGCTGTTTCTGTTAGTGTCTTGTGGAGTTGAGATTTGGAGCGGAAGAAAAGCCGCGACTGAGTCCCGGAGGCTTTGTGCACAAGACTTCATCATGTTCATCTCTCGTTTGTCTAGGAATAAGGTAGTAATTTGTTCACAGTCCTTCTGGCAATCACAACTTGAATACGCCCGTTTGCCCTGCATCCTCAGCCTCTTCTTCATCGTCCAACAACTCCTAGCGCGCTTTCACGATCATTGCGATTATGAATCAATGCATATAACGCCACATCCTCCTCAAAAATCAGGGATCTCGCTCATCGAGGTGTGACCTGTCTTGCTCGTGTGGATGCGAGCCTCGGTCGTGCTAGTACCAAGCCACTCGCAACCAGGAGCGTTACACTTCCGCAAGGCGCTATCTCCCATGGCAGCAACGGCACTTGCACCACCTACACCACTGTGAGACACATCCTTGATCTCGTCGAAACCCATGTGGCCCGTTTGCGAGGCATGTTTGTTGGCCTCCTTCTCACCATTACCGATCCACTCGCAACCAGCAACGGTACAGCGGAGCAGAAACTCGACAGTGTCGGTGAAGTAGTGCATCTCATGCAGCTTGCGGATCAGTTCCCTTGTCTTGTCAAGAACGGCCTCGTCAGAAGTGCTCCAGTTGGTGCGATCCAGCTCGGGAGGGAGATCAGAATGGGTGTAGGGAGGCTCCGAAGGGCTGCAGGCAACTCGGTCATAGTGGATACCCGAGTACACGAGAATGCATCGCGACTCCTTGTTCTCGCCGAACTTTAGCGGGTTCTGGCTCTTGACGTCGAAGGCCAGAACCTCGAGGTCAAAGAGGTCAGAGAAAATTCCGAGCTCGATCGCGCCGCCCCAGCGGTCTGGGTCTTGCATAGTCCGGCAGTACTTGTCCGGGGCCATGCCAAGGACAGCTTCAGAGTACTCATCAGGATGCTGGCGAATGTAGTCGGCGACCATCTTGCGAAGTTCCTTGGCCTCCATCTGCTTGCCCGGAATGGCGCCGCCAAAAGCTGTGAATAGGCAGCTATTGTCGTCGGGCATGACACGTAGTACTGCGCAGTGTAAGCTTTCTGCGCCAGGCGGGTAGTTATGGCTACTTACGCAGGGTTGACTCGCGTTCAGGCCAAGGTATGCTGATGTCAGAGGGGGTTGGATCACCCGAAGAGTCCAGGCGAGGCTTCTTGGACGAGGGCGCGCTTCCTTCGGAGGGTCTCGTCACGGGCGGTGGGGGCGTAATGACTCTTGGCTGAGCCGGCTCAATGGTGAAGGACTGGCCATTGAGGCCGAGATCCTTTGCGTTGGCATCTTTTTGCGCGAGAGTGAGTGTCTGGAGAGGATAGCCATACTTTAGGGCGAAATCGGCGATGCCAGTTGACTTCTTGATCTCGTCGAAGAGCTGACCCACGGTAGCGTCATCTCCGAGGGATACTACACCAGAACCCTCCGGGCCCCTGTACCTGGCTCTCATGGCGTCCAGGATTGGCGATTCGGGGATGTTTTGTTAGAGCAAAGGCCCAGGTATGGGGGAGGAGGATTAAAGATGCCTCGTGTTCCGTCTTGGGGTGGTGTGAAAGAAGGTTCTCAAAGCGGCCGGAGACGGATCCGGAGCGTAGCCGGAGGGCAGCCGAGCGGTCTTGGCTGGAACGGCGGGGTCGCGGAGGGATTAATCTTATCTCGAGCAGATACCGGGGTTCCAACGACGGCGGGGATGGATGGGGCCGGTCGTAGCCCAGGATTGAAATGATGGGAGTCAATGTCTCAGCAACCTTGCTTTGAGTTGATGTATTGAAGCCAGGTTGATCGGACAGGCAGTGTCTTATTTTGGTGGCCCACGTTGCGGGACGAGTGAGCTGCAGTCGCAGGTGATGAAGGCTCTGTTGAGTGAGCAGTGTTGCGAGTGTCTTGGGGACGCTGAGACGAACTAGAAGCTTCTCCGCTTATTAAGTACTTCTGGAAGACGTCGTCGGGGTCAAAGATGAAGCTAGGACGATGGAGCGAAGACAGGGCCAGGTCTGAGCGTCGAGGGCGGCGACTGCTTTGGGATGCTTCTGTGTTCGGGGTCAGACATGTGTAACATGACATGCGAGCCACAAGAAGACCAAGAGACATTGGGATCGGGGTCGCGTTGTCCTCATCCCACTCTGGGTGTCGCCGTGGTGTGGAGAAGTACTCCAATCAAATGTGTTTGGCCATCTCACTGGACACAGTCCGGAGATCCAGTGACAATGACTTCATTGTGTCCATCTCGCCGGCTGCCCACTTTTCGATTTCACCAGGAACTTGCGTGACGCTTGCGGATGCTTTCCACTGGGCCCAAGTCACTTGGGTCTCATAGTTGATAGCGAAGCCGTTGGATCGAGAGCCTTTGTAGGACGGGAGTCTCACCTTATTATACCTACTTAGGCAGGCTGCGGGTAGGTTCGAGGATTGGCCTCTGGTGCAGCCTCTATTGGCTGCCAAGAACAAGGGAGGCAACAGTTGTGGCGTCGACAAAAGCTAATGGAGAATTCGAACGACAACAGGCATATCGATATTGATATTGCAACTTTTCAACCAGCAACACTGAATAGAATGGCACCTTCCTCTCAGTACCTTCACTACCTAGTGGTCTAGACCGTTCAGCCGTTTCCGTTAGCCGAGGTGGGGCCGGCACACAGTCGACCCTGGGCAGGGAGGTTTCCCTGCTAACACCCACGACCGACTGATGCTTTGTTGCACTGGGCCGTTTCCATCCCGGCCATGTCTAAGGTACCTACCTACCTGCCTAGCGACTAATAGCACCTGGCCGGCCACAGCACCAGCCCAGCTCCCGCTTCGCGAACCTTCAATTCTTCCCTCTCGACGGTCTTTTCTGGAAATTCTGACCTTTGCGACAGAGCCTCTCCTCCCCCTCTCCCACTCAGGCTCGCCCGTGCAGAGGGTTCAATTACTCCACTGACCCTTTGCGCCGCCAATTACGCTCTCAGAGACGACCTCCAGTTCCCGTGCCTGCGCTTCGAGTCGGCGGTGCAGATGATGTCTTCGACGCGCAGCGACGCGCCCGAAGTGCGCGAGTCCATCGAGGCCAAGGTTACCAACGATGTTGAGATGACCGACGCACCCGCCGCCGCCGCCACCTCGGCCGACACCCCTCCCATGCCCGTCGATTCCACTGCTGTTCCCGCGAAACCGGACGCTTCCGACAAAATGGATGTCGACGCCGACGCCGACGCCGATGCCGATGCAGATGCCGACGTGGATGCTGATGCCGACGGTGAAGCGGACGCTGATGCCGATGCACCTGGAGAAGTCGACGTCGACGTCGATGCAGACGCAGACGCTGATGCCGACGCAGATGGAGACGCCGATGCCGATGCCGACGCTGACGGAGACCCTGACGACGGTGGTGCTTCTCCAGCAGAGTCTGAGCCTGGCGATCTCTTGGACATCATCCAAACCCTCAACACATATCTCAGCAACTATAAGGACGATGAGTATGTGTCGCACCGAATCGTGCCAATTGCGCTTCTTGCTGACATATGGTTCGTAGTGGGGAGTGGTGGGCCGCCAGCTTCCAGCGTATCCCGAATAAACGCCAGCTCCCTGACTATTTCGAAATCATCGAGAACCCCATAGCCTTCAGCACCATTCGCGTAAGTCTTGCCCAACAACAAATTGTACAATCATTCAAGTTGAGAAACTAACCTGTAACAGCACAAAATAAGTAAAAAGCAGTACAATGACTTCTCCGAGTTCGTCCGTGACGTTGCCCAGATCTGTCACAATGCTCAAGTGTACAACCGACCTTCGTCTGCCATCTTCAAGGGCGCTACTGTAATCAGGGATCTTCTTAAGCAAGAGCTGCAGAAGCTCGTGAACAAGGGTACCATACAGCCAGCGGAAGCCGAGCTGCCGGATCTGGGAGAGCTACCGCCTGCCGAAGAATCCTCCCCAGAGGCTGAGTCCGAAGAAGAGGAAGAAGAGGAGGAGGAGGAAGAGGAGGAAGACGAAGATGACGACGACGACTCTGACGATGATGGGAGAGGGCGTCGCAATAGGAAGCGGGGGAGAGCATCATTCGGCAGACGCCAGACTGGCGAGGCCAGAGAGGAGGACGAGCATAAGAAACGCGGCCGCCCTCCCAAGGTTCTCACGCCCCTCGAGGCTCGTATACACAACGTCATCAAGGGCCTTCGCAAAGTCAAGTCAGACGACGGTGACCTGCTCATCGGTCCCTTTGAGAAGCTGCCCGACAAGACCATGAACCCAGACTACTACCAGGTTATCAAGGACCCCATTGCGCTGGATAACATAAAACGCAAGGCCAAGAGGAAGAAGTACCCGACCGTTGACAGTGTCCTCAAGGACATTGACCTCATGTTCAACAACGCCAAACACTACAACGAGGAAGGAAGTGAAATTTTCGAGGCTGCCGTAGAGCTGCAGAAGCAGGCCCACGGACTGGTAGCGCAGGAGAAGGCCAGACCCGATGATGAGTTCCGAGACGAGGACGGCAAACTGCCGTTGGCTGAGATTCAATACAACGGCCAATCGTGGAAAGTTGGTAAGTTGCGTCCAGTAACCCCCGGTAGCATGGTAAGTGGCCCTGATTAACAATTGTTCTAGGTGACTGGGTACACATTCGCAACGTCAACGACATGGCCAAGCCCATTGTCGCTCAGATTTTCCGCACCTGGCAAGATCGTGCCGGCCAGCGGTGGATCAATGCTTGCTGGTACTACCGTCCCGAACAGACGGTCCACCGATACGAGAAGCACTTCTTCGAGAACGAAGTGGCCAAGACGGGCCAGTATCGTGACCACCAGATCGAAGAGGTTCTCGACCGATGCTTCGTCATGTTTGTGACGCGCTTCAACAAGGGGCGGCCTCGCGGTCTGCCACATGACAAGGAGGTGTATGTGTGTGAGTCTCGCTACAACGAACAGACGTGCCGCTTCAACAAGATCAAGACGTGGGCCAGCTGCGTGCCGGACGAGGTGCGGGAAAAGGATTACGAGATGGATTTGTTTGACCAGCCACGGCGGCTCAAGAAGGTGCCCAGCCCGATCAAGCACCTGCTGCAAGCCGACGCGAAAGAGACGGACGAGCTGCCGAAGCCGACATGGGGAGCTCCAAACGCACCGCCTATTATCGGCGCCGTGCACCGTCGACCCCGGGAATCGAACGTAAGTCGTGATGTGTTTGCTGTTTCTTTGCTATTTCTGTCCACGGTCCATCCACACTCTGCAGGCCTGGTCTGGCTGGGACTGCTTGGCCTTCGGCCATTCTCACTCCCAGCCGCGCCGCCTTACCTGACCCTAGTACCGCCCAAGTGAATCTTGTTGCATGAGCTGTAACCCGTGCCCCAACACCTCTTCTCTCTCTCTCTCTCACACACACACACACACACACAACTTCTGCGTCGTCTTATCCAGTGCAAGCCGATAAAAAGAGCGGCGCAAAGGCGATGGTTCAGCAGCGGCAGTACCCTGCATCCCGTCTCCAAGCCCCGGCTTCCTGCCCCCGTCACTCGTTTGCTCACCCTCACTCGCCCTTCACACTCACCTTTCCACCTCTTTTTCTCTTCATTTCCCCCCCTCGCCCTCTCTCTCCGCAGACGTTGCATGTCTGCCTTGCTGTGGTGGCTTTTTTACCAAGACCAAGCCGGGTACTAACAAACATTCCTTGGGATGTAGGAGTCCCCTCCACCTGAACCAACACCATCGCCGCCTCCCATGAGTCAGGAGGCTGCTCGACGCCCATCGGTGCTCCAGGCAATGCGACAAACGCCCAGCGACATGTCGATGAACAACCCGCCAACGCCGTACGGACACGGAATGGGCGCGGCGCCGTCGCCGTCGCCGGCCATGTACGGGCAGCAATACACGCCTCAACACGCGTCGGCTTCGCCTGTCGCGTTGCCTCATCAGACACCAGTGCCGCTGCCCCAGATTCCTCCTCACCAGGCGTCTCACTCTCCGCAACAGCCCATCCGTCCCATGTACCAGCAGCAGGGATACGTGCCAAGCCCCTTCCAGCATCAGCAACAGCACCCACAGCATCCACAGCACCATCCCCACCAGTTTCAGCAACAGCAGCAGCAGCAACAGCACCTTCCACCACAGCAGCACCACCAGCCGCCGCCGCCGCACTACCCGCAGGCCCAAGCGCCCCCCGTGGCACAGCACGGACACGGACACCACCAGATGCATCCACAAATGATGACAGCAAACTCTTTGGGCCCAACGACGTTCAATCACCACCAGATGCAGCCTCACCCAACTGCAGCCCGCACCCCCATGGCGTCTGCACCCAATGCCATGCCGCCAAACAACGCCTACAACCCCCCGCGCCCTCCCGAGGTTTTTGTCCTGCCCGACCACATCAACGACCAAATTCCCGAGGAGGTGCGCAGCCAGTACAACAGGGACGAGAACGGCAGAATCATTTTCTTCACCACACCGCCCGCCGCGCGCCCCGAACATGGCCTTGCGCCGGACCACGCAAACACGGGCCATAGCCTCGCCTACCTTGCCAAGAGCAACCCGGAATGGCTGTCGGAGCGTGCGAGCAAGGCAAAGGCCTTCTCCGTTGTCAAGCAGAAGGAGCTGAAGACCAAGATGGTCATTGACGAGATCACCAAGGGCAAGACGCAGGAGGAGCTGCATGACTGGGCGAGCGACGCATGGGCTCTGTATTGGAAGAGCCATGCCCAGGAAACGATGCGCATGCGCGAGGATGGCGACCTGGATGGACACGACCAGATGGTGAGGGAGCAGCATGCAGTCAAGGTCAAGTCCAGAAGGGAGCGTGAGGAGGAGGCCGATAGGGCCGAAGAGGCCAAGAAGGCCAGCTATCTCGAGGGCATCTACTCGGCCCACACCAGCATGCGTTCCTCCAAGCCACGTGGTGTCTGAACGGACAGGTCACCAAGACGTCGCTCTAATGGATGCTACGTGTCCGCGCTGCAGGAGGCGGTGGACCAAGATGCGTAGAGCTTTAGCTTTCTCTGGGTAGACAGACGGGAGGAGTTTTTGGTGGGTGATTCAGCTTGTTGTGATACCTTTTGGTTTGGAGTTTTACGGAAACCATTACGGCTCGGTGTGTCGACATGGAACCGATGGGGTCCCTATGGTTATTGTACATCATAATGCTAAGAATTGAAGACGCAGAGAAACGTTCCTTCCAGTCACGACAGCGTCAAGGTTTTGTGCCATGAAAAGCTTGTCAAGTGCCCAAACAAATACCACACACACACACACACCTTTGATGATGATTATTGATGACGGTCGAGTTCGTCCCCAGTACCCCTGTTCCTGTCTGCTGTTTCGATGCTCAAGTCGAAGGGCAGACGGAAACATTCTAGACATGCAACATTGTCATTAGGTGGGTAGCTCGGTAGAGACAAAGATAAGATTTAGTGGCGACCAACTGGCCAGGGGAGAATGAGAGCTGTCCAGTGCCTGCTTCCAGGATCGAGGTCGTGGTGTCGGGTCAGGAACCTCGCCCCACAAGTCCAGGTCCTAAGTTCGCTGTCGACGGGACGTCCAGGCACTAAGAATCGCTGCGAGGCCCTGCCGGGGGCGCCGCCCGACCACGCACAAAGCGCAGTTGCCAGCCCAGAGAGGGTCTAGTGCAGATCTGATTCGCCCACTCGAGACGCTCCAGCCACTGAGTGCGGTGCAGGGTGACTCTGACAGCGAGACGTGGATGCGCTGGACCTTTTTCTCCCACCTTTTTCTCCCAAACACCCTCAGGCCGAATGTGGGAACCGCTGGGGGGCAACTTCCTGCGGCACACTCACGGGACGCTAAGTGAGCCTCAAGCGCGGCTAAACCACCATTTGCTGACGTTCTTGACTTGCCTTCTTCACCTTCTTCTTTCACCTCTCTTTTTCGCCTCCCGCCCTCGTCTACAAAAACCACCCGCAGTCACCTCCGAAAACATCATCCCTTTCTAGAGGAACCCGACTTCTGTCCCGAAACACCAAATCCGTCTTATTTTGGCGTGGTCGCGTCTTCGTTTCCTTGCTTTCCGTTGACTTACCCCCCACCTTGCCTTCTTTCTATAGTTCAGGCAACGAGGCAAGACCAAGCAAGGTTGGCATCTCTCAGATTCCATCCAAGTTGTCTTCACTTTTTCTCGCATACGTCGCAGACTACCAATACGAGCAACCTTCTCCTGCCAGGGACTATCTACATACAATTCATCGTCTAGCACAACTCACCCGGGTCTCTCGCCACTCAACCGTCTTTCTCCGAAGAAAATTGACGAATTTTGCTTTCCCGATACCACAGCGGTACATGCTTATCAAAGCCTGCATTCGATAATTTCGTATAAGGCACGATGGCGTCCACAAGCTCTCGCAGAAAGCCACGACAGAGACGGCCACCTGCTAATTCTGATATCACGAATTTGAGTTCCCAGTGCCTCACTACTACTACCACTTCAGAGAAACCCTGTCTTGGCGATTTTTCAAAGATATTTTCTCTTTTAAACCACCATCAGAACCCCGCCTCTCCTACGGATAACGATAACTCTTGTGCTCAGCAACCTGCGCCCAGTCAAAGCATCTCTCCAAGCTCACGCCTCCTGTACATCCCAGACTCCGTTGTCAGAGACATCATGGGTGGGAAGGTTCCCAAGCTTAAGAGCAAGGCTGGCGGCCAGAACGCTCCTAACGCCACTTCTCCCCTACTATCCCCCCCAATGTCTGCAACTTCAAGCGACTCGGACTCAGTCTCGTCTCGTGGGGATTTCGATCCGGTCGACATGGAGCTGGATCTGAACGGGGGTGCTGGTCTGTCAGACGTCACCACGCCGCCCGCCACACCTCCTCCCAAGGCCACCTCTGTGTCTGCTGGAGATCTTCTCTTCGAAAGGCACACCGCACACAGGCTTCCCGTCTCTTTCGAGGAGTCTTTTTCGAACCGCCTTGCGCACCAGTTTGTGTCGCACGATCAACAATTCCAACAAATGTGTGCCAAGCTCGACGGCAAAGTGTCTCACGACAGAGTGTACATCTTTGTCGACGGCTCCAACATCAGCACCAGCTTCTACCAGGACCTCAAGAAGAAGTTTGGAATGCGTCACAATGAGCCGCTCCCCGGTTGCCTCGACATCGTCAAACTGCATGAGATATTGCAGCGAGACAGACATGTCATGGCCTCCCACATCGTTGGCTCCAAGGCTCCCGGCAAGGCTGAGGCTCAGTACTTCTTTGATGCCGAGGAGATTGGCTACCAGAAGACCATTCTTCCTCGAATCCCCAAAGATGGCAAGAAGCCGTTCTCGAATACGTCTGATTCTGACGACATATATTCGAGACGCCGTGAACCCATGCAGGAGCATCAGGTTGATGAAAACCTTCAGCACTTGATGATCAACTGCGCCGTCGACAACATCAACAACAAAGGTGTCATCATCCTCGTCACTGGGGACGGCAACTCGAACGAGTCCGGTACCTCTGACGGCTTCCCCGCTCACGTTGTACGTTGCCTATCGTTGGGTTGGGCTGTTGAAGTGTACTCTTTCAAGTCGGCGTGCTCCGAGGTCTGGACCCAGCCGGAGCTTCTCAACAATAAAGAGTGGGCTGGCCGTGTCTCTGTCCACTATCTGGACAGCTATTTGCACGACCTGTGCAAGCCTTCTTTCGAGAAGCAACTGTCGGAGGTTGCTGCGAAGCATGCCACTCGGGCGTCTTGTCGCCCTACACCCATGACTCTGAAGCGGATGACGCCGATCGCTGAGGATAAGGTCGCCTCCCCTTATTCTCACGCCGCTCACCTTGACAACGACTGGAGGACTCCTTCCCCCAAAAAGGCAAAGTTCACCGGCCCGGTGACGTCTGAGTATCAGTCGGTGACAGCTACCAAGTCGCACACAACGTCCGATTACCAAACGCTTTTGCAGAGTGCCAGCACCTTTGGCGACATCAAGACCACCTGTGCTTCCACAAACGGTTTTGTGGGCGGTTGCTTCGGCTCGTTCCAACAGTACTCAGCCATCTCTGGTGCCAAGGTGTAATCAAACTACAACCCATGGCAACCGTATGCTCGCCGAAAGGTGCACCGGAATCGCCCTCTTTTGAATAGGTAGCCCGTCGACCTCGTGCGTCGATGGGATCTGGGATATGCACTTGGCGGTAGCCTGCTAGACATTGGTATGTCTCGCAGGAATGGATATGAATTGGGAATGCAAGCGGCGAAGCGGCCCGACTTTGGAACGCTGACTTTTGCCTTCTCTTCCTCGACTCGAGAATCTACCGGCTGGCATCACAAGGATGGGGGCATGGAATAAGGCCCTCGTGCACTTTGACACTACCGATGATTGCTTACTTGGACGAGAGGCAAACAGCAACAACCGCTATAACAACAACAAACACAATTTCGTTTTGAGTTCTTACTTGGCTATGCTACTTATTACGGCATACGCATCCATGGACGATCTTAGCTTTCTGGGTTTATGTCTGTGTTGTCTTTTCTTTTACTAGCATTTGGGTTTTCTGTGTTCTCTGAGAGATTTTGCGAGTCTGTTGCGTCTCTCTTCCTGGTTCTCTTTCGCTTCTGGTTCATGTTTAGCATGGTTTGGCACGGGTTTCTTCTTTATTTACTTGCCGCATCAGCGTTGTTTGTTTCCTTTCATGGGAAAAATGTTCAAGACAACAAGCCTTGATTACGACTCGGGACGTTTGATATGGTTAGGGAAAAGAGATACCCCCTCTCTGATTTGGTTGCCTTGTGGTTTTGTTCTTAGACGGCAGTTAGGCAAAGGGTGTACATACATGGTATCTGGACATGAGAGATGTAACAGCACGGATTGCGGCGTCCCAGGGAATTACATCGAGGGATAGGATAAGCTGAGAAGCATAAAATGCTAGGCAAAAAATTCTCGGATTACCAGAGGCTGAACCGAAGCATTCCATGTTTCGGCGCTCAGCTCACAGAAATACAACAATACCAAACCGACTTGGCGGCATCACAGCCTCGGTCACACAAACTCACTGTCCCATCTATCTCATGAGTGACCTCTTGCTTTCCACACCGTCATCACAAATATCCAGCGCCCTACGGTATCATTCAGCTACAGCCAGCACACTCATAGCCACCAAAGCAGGCTATATAGATGTTTGACCCTACATCGCCAGCTTCGAAGCCCACCTCCACCATCACTCCCATAATTGCCAGCCCTTCCACAAAAAAACAAAAAAAAAAGGGGGGGCGGGGAGGGGGGGGGGGGGGGAGAAAAGAAAAGGATTGCCGATTTTCTTTTTTTTTAGTCACGCTTTCTCACTCGGGTAGCCCAAGTCGCGCGCCGCCGTGAGGTGCCTGCAAGCGAAAGGGGGGGGGGAGGAGGCGGATGGCGAACGAGCACCTTCACATGCACATCTCACAGAAAATCTTTACCTGCGGGCAAGAAGAAGGAAATGTAGTTTACACCCAGAATGGCGTCTCAACATTGGTATCGAAGATGCGCAGCAGAAAATAGTGTGACAACAAATTGGACATAACCCACATCTCGCGGCTTCCCGGCCTACATGAACTAGCGCCCCGTGTACGTTTAATATTGTGAATCCAACGGCTTAAACTTGCAATGATAACATCCGTAAGGCTGCCAAATATTTCAACCTTTCCTACCGGCGCCGGCTTGAGGCATCTCTTGGGTATACCGAGCCATCACCTAGGAAGAATCGTGAAACGATAGAATTGTGGTATCTTGAAGGGGAGGGAAGGCGATCAAAAATCATCAGTTGTTTGGCTGTAAGTTTGGCTGTAAAAGGTTGTAGGTTGAAGGTGTTCGAGCGTTATCCAGGACCGGTGACTCCCTCCTCGCGTATCGAAGTCATGCCACCTTTGCTGCCGCCTTCTAGCAGCGGTTTGCTCGGTGGAGGCATGGTATTGTGACCCTTGGATACACTTGTAGCAGGCGTCGCGTTGCCTGAGGATCCATCACTAGGCCGAGCAGGTGTGCTGCTACTGGCTTTTACCTCGTTCTGTAGCTGGGAAGAATGATTCGGGGAGTTCGACTTCTTGCACAGCGCGTCCGCGTTCGTGTTTGCGCCTCCTCTAGAGGAATTGCGTGGAGACACGCGTCCAACCTATTCCTCATTAATATCGTGGCCCTCCGGTCGTGAGTCTGCCACTGATGGCTCGGCACTTCTCACCTGCTTCGCCCAGCGTAGACCACAGCTGTTGCACAAATCTCGTTGGCCGCTCGGGCCGCGTCGCCACTCAGGGGTATTGCGGGTGTGACAGTTGGCACAGTCGCGAACGACGTTGCCTACACCCTTCCTCCGCTTCCTCTTCTTCTTGTTGGAGAGCAGGCCGCCAAGCTCTTCTGCAAGGATTCTGTTGACCTTTTCCATTTGACGTAGCTCGAACTGCCAGCTGGAGCACTTTGTGGTCCTCAGCTCATCAAAGATATTATCGTCTGCGGCTAGAGCAGCATCTTGGTTGCCTGGAACGGTGTTGCCACCAGACGTAGATGTTGGACCAGTCTTTTGCAAGTCTGTTGTCTGCATAGTTTGTGCTTGGGACGATGACTTGACGCTTCCTGGCGGTGTTGCTGCTGGTGCGATAGCCCTTGACGATGCTTTCAAAAGCTTGGTTTGAGCCAACAAAAATGTCGGCTTCTGCCCCAAGGATGCATCTCCGGGGTACAGGGTTGTATGTGCCTGGAGAACCTGGCCCCTGTTGTTGTGAACCTCGTGTTTGCAGGTAACGATCTTACCCCTTCTGGCCTTTTCGATAGCACGACCGAACTCGGCACGGCTCTCGCGACGCATGAGCTCTTGCATGCTGGTGCCCACCAAATCGCTTGGGTGCTTGTCGAGTAGAGATCGAATGTTGGAGGACACAAACAAGAACATGCCGGATACCGAAATCTTTGTCCACAGCTCACTATCGCCAATGCCGCCATGAGCCTCTAAATCTCGCCGGCTGAGAGCGAACACCGGTCGTTTCCTTCCAACCAGGATAATACACTTCCTGCCTTTGCCGTGTTCGAAGAAGAGCGAGCCGTGGCTCTCAAACCATGTGTAGCCGCTCTGTTTTCTTCTGATTCGGAAGACGATATTGACGGTATTGCCAGCGGTTGCGTCCTTCAGCTCGCGGGTTACAGGAACTATGTCAGAAGGATGACATATAGTCGACAACGCATTGCCGACCAACTCTGCCCCGTCATACTCCAGGACCTTCTTGCAAGAGGGCGACAAATACATGAAAAGCCCCTTCAAGGAAAGAACATGAACCACGTCATCCGTATTCTCCAGTAACATCTTGTCCCAGGATTGCTTATGCCAGTCGGACACTACACCCTTGGGGTTGAACTGTTGGAGAAGAGTCGACACGTCGTCGATTCCCAGTGTTTGTCCGTTCTCTGGCTCGACGTGGTTCGCTGTGGGTGGCGTCCAAATGTATTGGCCAATGTCGCTGTGCTTGTAATTGACCTTCACACCGCCATTTTCTTGGCCTTGGGCAATAGCATCGGGGCACTCGACCAGATCGATCTGGAAGCCGACGAAAAATCGTACCTCGTTTGGATCATCCCACGGGATCGGAATCATGGTAAGGAGGTTGAGGAAAGGCTTGCCACCCTTGCGGTAGTTGATCAAGCTCTGCTGGACCTCTCGACCCTCTGCGATTTTCTTCTTCAGGTTGTAGACGGAAGCATCGTCAACAAATTCTCTCTTAGAACCAGCCTCGACCTTGCCGTTGGGAGACTGGAGGAAGCGGCAATTCTGACCGACAATTTCATGACGGCTATAACCCGTCAAGTTCTGGAAGTTGTCGGATACGTAAATGATAGGGCAGTCGTTGAGTGAGACATCGCATACAACAAAGGCGCAAGACATGTCGACGGCGCCAAGGTGAATTTCGGGATTCTTTCTCGTCGCAACATACCATAATGCTCGCAGCATATCGAAGCCACTCTTGGAATAAACGTTCTTTTCCTTGCTTTCCGCGCGGGGTGTTTCGGGTCCCGCGGCTGGCGTAGTAGACGCGGTGGGAGGCGCAGCAGCCATTTGGCTTGTTGCCATGGATGAAGACCTGTGATTAGGTGACTGTGAAGAATTGTTGGTCGAATTCGACATTTCCCTAGATATAGAAGACGGCGTCTGCGTCGGCCCAGTTGCGGTTGATCCGAAGTTCACGGTCTGAGAATTTGGCCGAACATTGGTGTTGCCGTTGTTGTCGTTGTCCGGCTGCGTTTGATATTGCTGGTTCATGTTCATAAGGTCGTCGTCGGTAGAAGCCATCTCTAGCGGCGTGTCGAGAGCGCTCTGAGGCGCCTTTACCGGAGTATCACCCCCCGCCATATCCATTGACATGTCATTCGAGTTAGTGTTGAGGGGGCTTGGAAAGTTGTTCGCCATCGAAGTCTGGCCGTACATGCCCATGCTGGTAGTCGTCGGCATTGAGGGAACCTGCATACCAAAGGAGTTGGGCGGCATCATCGAATTCATCATGTCAGGCGAGAAAGTGGTGAAGGCATTTGTTGGAGACATCTGCAGTGATTCGGTACCTGGGTATCCGTCCATCGCGCCGGGTATTGAGATGTTGCCGGGTACGTTGTTGCCCATGCCTACTGCGTTGCCCGACATGCCGCTGTCCAAAGCTGTGTCCACGCCGCTGCTCATCTGCCCGGCTATGTTGACGAACTCGCCGTTCATGGCCGGGTTCTGGAAAGGATAGTTGACGAGTTGATTGTCACTGGCGCCGAACTCCATCATTGACATGCGTCGATCAGAGCCTCCGTTTTGGCCGGACTGATTCTGGGATATGAAGGGTTGGTGTGAATGATGTATACTGCGACGGCGTTGAAGTTCGTGGTGGTTGGAATTGATGATATCGTCCAGGGAATCGCCTCCGCCCATCATGTTCATGTCGTGGCCATGTCCGTGGCCCTGGCTCATGTGCTGAAATCCATGGCTTCCGGGTTGGCCCTGCTGCTGCATCAGATGCTGCTGTGAATGCTGCGACATCTGTCGCTGCAGCTCCTGGGGAGTGAGCTGTGCGTAGTAGGCCTCCATGGCGAGTGCATCTGTGTTTGCCACCCCCAAGATGGATATCGCAGAGTGCTGATTATCTCGCGGCTTCGGTGTGGGGCTTAAGATCGTGAGTCGTCAAGGCTTCGCGGGTGAGTTTAGCCTCCGCCTTGTACTTTTCTCTCCCGAGGCGCCGGCTCAAATGGTGCCACCTGTGCATGCGGTCGGGAAAGCGTAACGGCGTCAGCAGGGCAGCTTCGTCGAGGCGAGAGACTGGAGAATGGTATTACGGATGACGAGGGCGAGGTCGGAATGAACGAGGTCGTCGGGGAGGGAGAGAAAACGCAGTCTGCTGGCGAAAGACGTCGTTCACATGGGTCGTGGTTGAGGTTTCGGGGGCCGATGATGGCGGCAGTAATGCGGTGCAGCAAATTCTAGCCGGTCGGAGTGGAAAATCGAATGGAAGTGGTGGGGGCGGGTGTGAATGTTTCGTTGGCGCGGTCAATGATCGGGCTCTCGAGGTTTCGGAGGCCGTCGGTGGTGGAAAGTCGCGGAGAATCTGGGATGGGATGCTGCGGGGAGAAGAGATGGAGTTGTTAGCAGCAGTTGTGGTGGTGGTTGTGGTCGTAAAGGAGGGGGGTTTGGTTTGGGGGCGGCACCAAAGTCGATGGGCCGCCCATGGTAATACCTACCACCCACGGGAGGTACAGTACCTAAGGTAGCGAGCGCTGCGTGGTCCACGCCCACCGGGGATTGGAGGCCGGGAAAGCCACAGAGACAGAGGCCTTGGGATTACGCAGTACGAGAGGTTCCCGGTTAACGGGCTTCCAGTGAGAAGCAAGTGAGGAGCTTGGGGCGCAAGGCCGTAAGAAGACAAGGAACGTCTGATGTCTGTCTAGGTACGGATGGATACCTTACCTAGCCTAGCCCTTCGGCACCGGGCATTGATTTTTTTGACTTTTATTTATATCCAACACGGGCTCTGGTTCGTTCGTTGCTGCAAGTAATAAACGGACATTGGATCAGGCACCGTCGACTGCGGGCGGCATTGGATTTTGTGTTGGAGCCCAAGTCTTGCTTGTATTCTACTGAGGCGTGATGAGCACTGGATTGGATGCCTCGGCCGCGACGCCTTGGGGTGCAATCCCCCGGTCGAGTCACATCCATCGGCGCTGCAAGACATGGCATGGCATGGCATGGCATGGTATAGCACGGCATGGCAACAGGGAAGCACGATGTACGAAAGCCATATCTTGGAGCACAAGTAAGGAGACTTTGACCCGGTGCGGAATGTCGACGGCTTGCGATATCAACGCCCTTGGTTTACATTGCCTTAAGGCACCTACGGCAAGGTGTAGCTGGCTGGCTGGCTGCCCTGCTTCGGAGAGGGCCATCCATGGGCGGTCCGAGACCCCCACTTCGCCTGTCCAAATCCAGCACCATCACGGCAACTGCCAACATGCGTGAGGAATCAACGCCCCCCGAATAGGTGTGTCCCGCAAGACATGGCCTGAGTCTCTGAACTGCCCGCGCTACCTTACCTTACCTTACCTTACCTTACCTTACCTTACCTCACCTTAGGTACGCTGCGCTGCAAGGTAGCCTGTGCCTGGGGCTTATTATTAGGTGTCTTTCAAAGAGCAAGCGGAGCCAGCATTTCCCAAACCTTGGACATGGTTCTCCCATTGCCACCGAGGCGACACATAACTAGCCGAAACCGCTGAGAGTAGGGGTTCCCCTACAACTACTACGGATACTGTGGCTTAGCTAATAAAGAAAGGCAGTAGTACACTTTGGCACGCCAGAAAATCCATTTCGTCATACAAGTAGGCCTTCCAAAACTTCAGACCTTGGCCGCACCGCACAGCAAGAAACATGCAGCATCCAGCCCCGGCTGGCCGGCGACAGACCGTTGGTCCCACCCATGATCCATCCCACCGCGCTTGGTGCTGTGCGGCGTAGGTAAGGTACTTTCCTACCCTTCCCTTCCCTTCTCCCTTCATCTCTCAGCCCGCCCTCTTCCCCTTACAAGAACCAGACAAAGTGCGATGCAATTCCCTCATTGCCATCTCCATCGATGATCGGTTTCTGCCGCCATTCTGCAAGTTCCCTTTCCCTCAACTTCCGGTGGCCTGCAGGCCTACTTCGTCCTTCTTCCAGCCCATCCATCACAGGTAGTAGATATCGGTTGTCCTACCTTGGCTAAACAGGACCGTTAGTTACCCCCCAGCACCCACATACCTACCTGGCGTCCCATCTGCCTTTCCCGTCCGTCGCATTCTGCACTACCCAGTTCCGTACGGATACCCGTACCACAACTAACATTCCACCGTTTTCCCATCCCACACTCGCGATCTGCCCGTCCTCGAGTTGCCGGACTGATCGCTAACTACCTGACTCGCAACAGCCTCTCCGGCAGCCTTCTCGTCTCAGCCGCCTTCCAATGTACTCGTTTCTCCTCACCCCTCCCCTTGCCGTACCCAGCCTTAGCAACCCACCCAGTTGGCCCAGTTCTCACTTTACCACCCAAATCCTATGAACAGCCATGCGTAAACCCGACCATCAGGGATTTACGACAGCCACACATATCACGAGACAAAGAGGATTGCGCTGTGGTGTGTGTACGTGTGAGTGCGAGTGTAAGTAAGTATGTGTGTGCGTGCGTGTGTGTGTGTCTATGTGTGCCTGCCCCGCGCCTTTTCCCATGCGCCAGCCAGCTAGCCCTCTCTCGCCATGTGACGAGCCGAATAAGGCCCCTGAAGAAGCGAAGATCAACATACCCATCATCCGCTAGCTGTGCTGTCTCCTAGATTGGGTTCCTGTCCGATCTACACCGTCTCTTGTCATCGAGATGTGCCTCTGCAACGTACGGAAGGTAATGCCACGTACCGTCCACCTATCAGTCATGTGCAAAGACGATGTGCAACCCCTTCCGCTCCCTTGCACAATTCCTCATCTCAACCGCGAGCCAAACGGAATGGCAGAAGCGTCCAGCGGGAGCTTCCTGCACCTTTTTGTTCGTTCTTTCCTTTTGGTTGGTCCGCCGTCTCTCTGAAACGCTTGTGATGAGAGAAGCCTTGCCAGCAGCAGCTCTCGGGAGGAGCACCACCCCTTAGGCGCACCAAACGGACGTGCATCGATAGCACCCGAGCTGCCTTATCATCCCTTTGCCTGAAGAGAGAAAAAAAGACCCAGCTATCCGGGCATGCCCACGAGGTGCCATCGCCTGGAGGCACTAGGAGAAGAGACGAGAGGGAAGGCCCCCGCGCGGCTGAACCCCTGGAGCTATGCTACGCGGCCATCGCGATGACATAGATGGGTCCCCGCGAGCTCGATGGTGTCTCTTGTGCGACTAGCTACCATTTATCGACGTGCCTGCCATCGTCACACCAGATCCCCATCCTCGAAATCCCATCCCCGTGATCGATGCAAGGTCGTGTCACACCAAGCACAAATCCTCCCCTTCCCCCCGTCCTGTAGACATAAAGGAGCGACGGACTTGCACTCCTCCAATGTCCCCTCCCTCGAAGGCCCCGATGGCGGTTGGACCTGTCAGTGTCAAACCAGACAGCTGGGCCGCCCCGTGCCTTATCGGAAAGAAAAGAACCAAGAAAAAGGGTTTAGAAACGATATGAGAACGAAGGTAAGAAAGAAAAAAAGAAAAAGAAAAAAAAAAAAGGAAAGAAGCTCGGCGGGTGGCTGTATCCGTAGCTGCTGTGCTGGCTTGACTGAGCGCGCCTGTGTGCAACCGTGACTATGGGTGAGACTGAGACTTGAGCCAAAGACGTCAATACCCCACCCCTTCCTCCCCTGCAGCAGAGAACATGGCAATTCCATTTGCCCATCTTTTTGCAAGTCAGGTTTCCCGCCTCCTTGTTCCCAGATGTCTCCAGCCAGCCAATCAATCACTCTTCATCTTTCCCATACAAGCCCACAAAATACTAGTAAGACAGGACATCCGGTGAACTCGGACAGGAAGCAAGTGACTCTCGAAATCTTATCCGAAGCCAGACATGCCATTATCCCTTATTTCACATCGATGGACAGCCGGGTGGATGAATGGTGGCTCGTCTGCAATCGGTCCGGCATCAGGAGCATCTCAGCTGTATGGCTGAACAGGCTCATCATTCCTCACCTAGTTGCAATGCAAGACGAGTCCGACATTACTGAGCAGATTTCCTGCCACCTCCTCGGCGTGTTGTTTGAGACCAGAATTCTACCAGCTGCCGCCGCTTCGGGCGCCGCATTCCCGACTTTGGCAGCGTCGGGTGGCAGCTTCATCACATCACAGCACTGTTTCCTCGAAGCCGCGTTTCACGTCAAACACAGTAGCATGGCCGGACCCCATGTTGCTGCTCCGTTCCGCGCACACAATCAGATTTGCATATTGGCAGTGCTTCATCATATCGGATTGAATTTCTATCTGCAAAACAACCTCTCCTTTATATCATCGTATCGGCGTCACAGTGCGCCACCATCGGGCGGCGGCGAGAAAACGAAGGAACGGCCCAGACCGGCCTTCTTGCGCACACATTTTCATCCTCCAAGAATATCTCGGCTCTTGACGCCTCTTTCTCCCATGTTAGTTTTGTGTGGCTCGACATATTCAAAGTCCAAAACTGTTGCTGCGGAGAGGGTCTTTTCTTCGTGCCTGTGGTATCATCTCAACATCCATCTAGTACAACAACCCCCAACTCCATTTTCCACGGAATTCTGAGCCTCGTGTGTGCTACTTCAACCGTAGTCAAGCCACTAGAAGTTCTACGAGAAGTAGGCCGTAATCGTACGTTGGGCCTCGGGTGAGAACTGCTGGAGCAGGGGTGCGGGGTTCACGCCCGCCGCGGAGAGGAGCGCCTTGATAGCCGTGACAACGCGGCTGGCCGTTTGCCCCTGAAGGGTGTCTGCTTCCAATGCCTGAGCGGTGAAAACGAAAACCTTACCGGCTTGGCCCATAACCGCGGGATGTTGCCTAAAAGTAATTGTGTTAGCGACTGCCCAGATTTCATGTATGTTCATCACTTACTGGTCAATGAGCTCAGCCAAGTAGGCATACGCATACGGCGCCGCTTCTTCGTCGTTGGTAACTGGCAGAGTCTCAATCCACTGAGTCACGATGCCATTGGGATCCTGGACAGAACTAGCGTTGTAGTGTAGAATTTTGGCGATAGCGGCACAAGCGTTCTCCGTGGCGTACACGTTGTCTTCGCTGCGCGCGTCGGGAACTTGCGTGACCTGGAAGAGAAAAGGCATGGCGCCGCCCAGGAATTGAGCCCAGGGAGCACCGCCACGGTGAGCAGCCACACCGATACCATACGCAGCGGCCTGGCGGATAGCCGGTGATGAGTCCCTGCAGCCGTCAACAAGAGGTTGAGTAATGTAGTTGGCGTAGCGCTGGCTTTCGGGCCCGCAGTATTCCAAAACGTCGTCCATAATGCAAAGACCCCACTGGCGTTGCGTCGGGTCATCTGACTTGAGGAAGCCTTCGTAGGTGCTGATTAGGCGCTCCCAGGCAGGGAGGAAGGCGGATCCGTGGTTCTTGAAGATGGCGTGGAAAGCCTTGTTCATGTCTGAAAGGAGCGTCTGGTCATCCTCAATGGCCAACAGAACATCGTCAGCTTCATCTTCTGCGTCCTCAGCAGTCGCACCCTCCTTGTCTTCAGCGCGCTGAGCGACACGGTCCTTGTAATCCTCAATGGCGGAGTGAACTGAGTCAATGAACCGAGAGAGGTGATCGGTTGTCAGACAGCCCTTGCCAACTACCTCAACCGACTCGTAGAAGCACTGGTACATTTCGGCCAGAGTATCGATAGCAGGCTCGGCGGTCAACACCTCAAGAAGCTTGTCGACAGTGGCAGCCCACAATCCGCTGAGTTCTGGGGAAGGACTTCCATACGTCTTCTTGTAAGAGCTGAGGAGCTGGGGTACCAACTTGGCAGAGATGAACCTGACCGGGTCATGGAAGAAGAAAGCCAGGCCTGGGAGAGCAATCTTCTCCATGATCTGTGCGACGTAAGGGGCAAAGCTGCCCTCGAGTACCTGGGCGTAGACAACCAATAGCTCAATGGCCATATTCTTGTCCTCCATAGTGCTAGTACGGATACCGATCATCTTGCCCTTGAGGGGAACAAGCTCCCATCCATCCTCTTGTTGGATCTGCTCGACCTGGTCATCGTCGTCCAGAAGCTGAATGTCGGCCTTCGCACTGGCCAACTCGAGAAGAGGAGGCATAACGTTGGGCAGGAAGGGCAGGAACTCTTGTCCAAGAACTCTGCACATGCGACCCCAGCAGTGCATCAGGTACTGAGCTTGCGGGTCATCAGAGTCGGTAATGTTAGCCTGAATGTTCGCGAGCAGGTGAACCAGCGTCATGGCATCCTGGCCGAGTCTCTCCTTGCCAACAGCCAGAGCGATCAAGGTAGCACACTCCATAGCCTTGGCGCGAAGAAGGCGGAATTCCTTCTCGTTCTCCGTCTGCAGGACATTCACCAACAGGGGCATGAGCGTGTCGTAATACTTTGAGAAAGCGGCCTCCGCGGCATCAGCAATGGTCGCAATGGTCGACAAAGCCTGCTCCTGGACGTATCGCTTCTCATTCTGCAGGAGCTGGAAGAGATGAGAAAGCAGCTCATCCAAGTAGGGCTCCAGGATGGACTTCTCGGCCTCCTCACAGAAGTTGACCAGAGCCGCAGCAGCATGAGACTTAACGCGGGCCTCGGGGGAGTCGAGGACGGGGATGATTGCCTTGAGAACGCGGTCGTAGTAGTCCGTTTGCATCTTCGGCGCGAAGTCCGTGCTCATTTGACCCAAGGCATTGCATCCAGCCCAGCGCACACGGGGATGGGGATCCTTGAGCGCAGGAACAACAAGATCGAGGACCTGGCTAAGCTCCCCAATCATGAGCTCTCTGCAGCCCTCAGAGATGGCGGAAATCGCCATGAGAGCCGCATGCCTATCTCTCCAAGCCATAGAGGTCATCATTCTAGGAAGCCAGTTAAAGGTCGGGGCGAGGATTGTCTGTCCGCCAAGCTTGTTGGCCAGTCGGTCCATGCATTGCTCTCCAGCAACGTGGTTTTGGTCGCTCTCCTCTTGGTCAAGCTAGAATTCGTTAATAGGTAAGCGCAAAGGCTGGAAAACAGGAGCAGCTCACATCATCAGACGCCAGCCATTCAGCAGCATCGTCATCATCTTCGCCCAGGTCGGTCATCAAACTCAGGCACTGGGTGATCATGTCGTTCGTGTATGTGGGGTCCTTGCGGCAAAGAGATGGCGCGTAATCGGCGAAAGTGGCCATCAGCTCCAGGGCGTTCTGGCGGCAAAGGTTGTCGAGCTCCTTATCCTGAATAACAGAGACGGCGAACTGTACCAAGTTATGGAACAAAGGCTTGAACATCTTCGGCGCAGTCTCGGCCATATCGATGAGGGCGACGAGGGCGCCGCTGAGGTCTTCAGAGTCATGGCTGTCCTTGATCGGGGGCAGGATGTTGAGGACGTCGGGGATGAGAGGGTAAAACTTGGGCTGTGCCTTCTTGCCCAGGTTTCTGAAGAAGGCGGCAAAGGCCTCCATGGCAGCCAGGCGTACCTTTTCCACTGTCAGTTCGTGTTCTGCATGGTGGGCGCCAGGGTCCGTCATACCTGAACAGAGTCATCCTTGAAGCCCTTCTGAAAGGCTCCGATAACGTTGTCCTCGTGTTGCTTTTCGATGACACCGGGGGTGGTTGAGAAGACGCGGAAAGCAGTCTCGCGCTTCTCGGCGTCGGGGGCTATGCTAAGCTGGAAGAGACCTCCAAGGAGTTCGGGCCAGGAATCGTCTGCCATGATGTTAGACGCAAGTTCAATCCCAAGCGCGGGGCTTCTCGCGTGCGTCTGAGGTGAGTGGAGTGTGAGGTGAAGGACGTACTGTTCTCGGTGTATTGCCTCGCTACCTCAGCGACAGCGTCGCTGATTTTATTTCGTACGGCACGTTGGAAGTCCCCTCCCAAACTCTCGAGAAGCTTCTGGCGGATGACGGCAGCCTGGTCCTTGGACAAGGAAAAGAACATATCGACGAGCTCGCCGCGCTCATTTTTGCGGCTCTTGGAGGCGATTCTTCGGAAAATAACGGCAGCGAAAGAACGTGTCTGTTGTGGTGATGAAATTAGCCAAATGTCGCGTCGCGAGGGGCAGAAGAGGGGCAGGGATGGAGAGTGTGTGAGGGGAGCCCAGATGCGAGAAGGAAACATACCGAAGCATCAGCACCGATTTGAATCTGCTCAGCCAGGCCCATCAACAGGACCTCGGGACGGGTGGTCGTCCAGTTGTTTTGCAGATGCTCCTCCGCTTGCGTACGGACAGAGTTCTCAGGGCTCTGCAGAGCTTGCAGGAGCTGTCCCAACTCCTGGTGGACGTCTGGCGGCAACATGGACATGATTGCGACCGGTGGCAGTGGTAAATGCTATCGAGTCGAAGGAAGTTTTTCGATGTTGAAAATGACCAGCCCCAAGACCAAGACAGTCGGGGCGGTGGAAGGTGGACAGAACCGCGCGAAGGGCGATGTGGGGAGGCTCGGAGGGATAAGAGTTGGCGTGTGTTTGGCTCTGGAGGGGGGTGCGTCTCTCGCTCGCTCTGGCTCGGTGGTTTTTTTTTTTTTTTAACCTTGTCTTTTGGCGGTTGTCTCTTGAGAGCGCCAAAGTAAGCGAGCGCGCGTCGGAAGGCGGAATAGAAGGTGGACAGTAAATTTGCGGGTGAGTACAGTCAACTACTGGATGCAGCGACTGGCGACAATGAGCATGGTATGCGTTGCGGGTGGTAGAGAGGGAAGGAGTGGTTTTGGTGGCTCAAAACAAAGGAACTCGTCACAACAAAAAGATATGAAGTGAGGCAGTAATGCCCACGATGGTTGAAGGGACTGGAGCCGGGTCTTTGGAGGGGGAAAGCAACACAAAAATGACATGGAATAATTTTGCGCGGGGCTGTTGGGTGGTGGAGCAAGATGCGCTGCTGCCCGCCCGCACACGCCACACCTCTTGAGTCCCTCTGCTCCACTTGCTGAACGGCCGGCCCATGGTGCCTTACCATTACTTTCCTTGCGAGTGCCCTCCGTGCTTCCCTACCTAAGGTACTAGATATGTTGCATACGCTACCTTATTACATAAGGCACATCTAGGTACGCTCTTAACCCAGGAACTCACGGTTGAAGGTAGGTAGGTAAGTACCTAAAGTAGGTAAGTAGACAGGCAAGCAGGCAAGGACCAAGCTGGCAAGCTGGGAAGGGAGTCCAACCCGACACGCCTCAGGTCCCGTCGGGTCGTGGATCGGTCTGCAGGCTGGCTGGCGGCAGCCCATGTTTCCATTCAATACCTACTTGACTGGTTGCTCCCAAAGGTCTGAAATTGTTAGTGGGTTGAACTTTTGACTGGCTGTCAATGCATGTGAATGTTACCCAGTATTGCCCGGGTACTTTCCGCCGGTAATTAGATATCAAATCCCGTTGTAAATAGTTCATTGTTGGCTAATGAGACAGAGCAGCAAACAATGGTGAGTTATTGACCAGCCTGTCTCGTTCTGGGGGACAATCTTACCGGCACGTCCGTGGTATGCCACAGGATGCCAAACATGGTGATGGGCGTAGCACGACAGCTGCCATACCTACCTACCTACCTACCTACCTTGGGTAAGGTACGCAGGCAGAGCCCACTCGCTGGGTAGCAATCAAATGCCCAACAAACAGGTTTACACTAATTTGTATTATTAGGACAATCGGTTCTCACAATGCCTTGGGACTTTGCGAAGCCCTGATGATTGTGCAGCCCGGTCCTCGGGCATGTCCTGAATTTGCATCCTGCGTGCCTACCTATCACCTATGTGGCTGCAGCAAATTGACAGCACGCGTCGTCGATCAGCAGGCGATTCTTCATCAAGGCCCTCCAGGTTGTTTGCGTGTCTGCGTGTCCGGCGGCCTGTGATTTGCTACCCTCCTTGCTAGGTATGCATTATGTAAGGTGCCACGCATTGGATAGGTAGGTCCATATCTACCTTAAGGTATGCAACAATTCGGGTGGAGGATGGAGGGGCATCGGGACGGATGCCAGCTGCGGACGGTCCGGTGCCATGAGTGTGGTGCATCAAGCAGAAGCGGGGACTGCTTTGGCCAGCCACCTTCATCACCGCCCGCCACCGTCACCGTCAACGTCACCACCGCGCTCGCCTGTCAAAGGAGGGGTAGGTAAGGCCTGCAGTGTAGGTAGTCCAGTGAGCTGCCCCTGCTGCTTGTCAATCTCTCCTCACCTTCATTGGGTCTTTCTAAGGTGCTTGCTAGGTAATTTAACCCAGTAACTATCGGCGTTAGCACTTGGGGTTCGAGCACCTGGGGAACGGGAGTGAACTTACCTACTCTGACGACGCCCTCGCAAGCCGCCCCCTCTCACCCCACGATTCTGAATCTACCGTTTTTATGTTCCATCATCCGACTTCAGAATACCCATCCCTCCTGGCTTTTACTCGATTCGAACCGGGTACCATCCCATCCCATAGTGATACTGCTTCCGGATCCTCGTGTCGTTAGGTACATAATCGCATCCCCTGCCCGGCCCATTTCAACATCCACCATCTGCTGCGTCGCAAGACCCAGGGTAGGTAGGGTGCCGCGCCGTTGCCCCTCAATTACCACCTCACCGTACGGATACAACCCATAGCTCTACGTAATTAAGGCGGTGCACCTACTTCTACCGCCATCGCCTCCAGCTCCAGCTTCCATTCTCTGAGATACGCAGTAATAAACCGAGTCTCGGCAACGCTGCCTTGAAGTCGCAATCAGCCGGCCTGGAATTGGCCACCCCTAGTCTCTCGACACCCTCGCCCGCACTCTGCTCAGCCACCGTCGCCTCCGCGCTTCCTCATTTCTGCGACTACCTTACCTGATCTTCAGCTTTGGACGACCATTCCTAACGCTTTGCAAATCCGACGCGGAATCTACCTCACAACTTTCCCAAAGCCTCGAGTCGAAGCAATCGAACAATTTGGAAAATCCATCACACCGATTTGTTTTCAAGTGACGCCCCTCGTGTAGAGCAATGGACGGAGCAGCGGCACCCGCGCCGCACAAGGACGAGAGTGCATTCGTCGCAACCTCACCCCCTACCGTCCCCCAACGAACTCCCTCCCAGACGAGCTTGCACAAATCGACACATGCCCATCGCCAGAGCTTCGCTGAGAACCTCAGAAACGCTCCGGGCTCCCCTCGCGCCCAACGTCACCCTTCATTCACCCAGGCCGCCGTTCAAGAGCTCCTCAACCACCCTCCGGCTGCTAACAAGCACTCCAACCCGCGCTTCGCAGGCCGTGACTGGCGCGACGTCTCCGTAAACGAGCTCGTCGCTCAAGACGATGTCAAATGGGTCGACCTGGACTCCAGCATCGAGGAGGCCTCCATGGTCTGTCATCCGAAACCCAGCTTCTCCGTTGTGACCAGTTCTAATGCCGCGCTAGATTCTCGTCAAGCAAAGCCCCTCCAATGTTGTCCTAATCCGAGAACATGCATCTTCCAAGACCGCGGTTTCCACTTTCGACTACAACGATCTCAACACATACCTGCTGATAGTTGTCGGACTGACAAGGCCCGATGAGGAGCAGATTTCCACATACGATGACATCGCAACGAAGGCCCGGGAAGGACGGAGCATAGCTCTGCGCGATATACAACCTCTCTGCAGAAAAGAGTCGCTCATTACGCTGCCCTTCGACGAGACCCTTGACAAGGCCATCGAGGTCTTTGGCAGCGGAATTCACCGCGTTCTTGTGACTAGCCCTGCTGGCGACGTAATCGGTATTCTCAGTCAGCTCAAACTGGTAGAGTTCTTCTGGAACGAGGGCATCAACTTTCCTGCCATTGACAAGCTATACCCCATGATCCTGCGTGATTTGGGCATTGGGACTCAGCAAATCGTAGCGGTGAAGTGAGCAGCCCCCAAGGTCTACCCTTTTCCAAACAAAGCTGACCCCTTGTAGTTCCGACAGCCCACTAGGCGACGCGCTGGCCTTGATGAACGCCGAAGGCTTGACGAGCGTTGCTGTCATCGACAACGGCCACAATGTTGTCGGCAATATCTCCAGCGTAGATGTCAAGCATCTGACGAACGCCGCCGATGCGCCCCTCCTCAAGTCGTCTTGCATGCACTTCATCTCCGTCATTCTCAGCGAGCGCGGCGTTGAGCACGGCAGAGACTCCTTCCCAGTCTTCTACGTGAACTCTTATTCGACGTTGGCGCACACCGTCGCGAAACTGGTCGCCACGCAATCCCACCGCATGTGGGTGGTCGAGTCCGCGTCCCCCAGCCCGAGCGCGCCCGCGACACCCCTGCTGGCCCCGACGACGTCAAGCGTCTTGGTGCCAGGCTCGGGGTCGGCGCCGCAGTCGCCGCTACCTACGCAGGTGGTACACAACGTTGTGCCTGCAGCCGCTATGCCCGGCGCTCATCTCTCGGGACGGCTCACTGGCGTCATTTCCTTGACTGACATTCTGAATATGTTCGCCAAGTCGTCTGGCTTGCGGCCCTCGGATCCAGGCGAGCAGCGAGCGCGACGCCGTAGAAGCTCAAGCAGCTCCATTCGGCCGAGTCTCGACTCCTCGAGACCAAGCCTTGATCTGCGCCGGTAATGGGAATTAAGCGCAACTTACTTCGGAGGATGGATGTTAAAGTGGATGGGGTGCGTGTTGGTGGGGTTTTACGACTGGCGTTTCCTGGGTTTCGCCGCATGGGATCAATTGACAGGAGCATGAGTTAGCTGAAGTTTATGCTTTACATGAGACGGCCGGAACTCTTGCAGTTGATCCAATTAGGAGAGCATTGCAAGCTCTTATTCCCAATATAGAGGGTCTATATTTAGTTCACATTGCCGGCCAGCCGTGATACATGAGACGAAACCCGGTGGTTGGCGCTGCTATTCTGCTTTGCCGAGTCCCTGAATGTGATAATACCTAGGTTAAATCCAGGAAGAAAAGTTACGCAATAGGAGCAATAGGAGCAACTAGTCATTGCGCCTGTAGTTCGACGGTTCAATTGAATAGGATAGGCCGGCAAAGTCTTTATTGAGTTATGTACGTGTTGTTTCACCCATTAACTTGTAGACGCATCCAAACATCTCCATCGCCTACCGACATTCACCCTTGGGCCTTGAAACGCAGCGGTTTCTCAGAGTTCAATGGGCACTCCAACGGAGTTGCAGGTCGTGGTAGCCCAGTTGAGGGCAGCAAGGCTTGTTAACAGATGTTAGTACTTTTAGAGGCCATTATGGACGGTGTCGGCCAAGGGGTAGGGGGAAGACTTACACATCGGCAGACCCGCAAGCGCCAAGGACACAGCTAGTGACGGCCGAGTTGTAGGCAGAAGAGCTGCAGGAAAAGTTAAGCGGAGTCATATTGCGTAGTCTTTCGTCTAATGGCATTACTTACGCGCAGATGCAAGCAAAGTCAGTCTGAGAGGCGCAACCGGAGATGGGGAAGTTGTCGACGAAGCAGGGCTCCTGGAAATCAAGAGGATCAGTCAGTCGTCCGCGACAGCGAATCATCGCTCTGAGAGTATCATACGGCGCAGTCGGGGAGTTCAGAGAGGTCCTGGGCAGCAACAAGGCTGGCGAAGAAGGCAACGGCAACGGTCTTGAACTGCATGTTGACTGGTGGGTCGGATCGACGTGAGAGTAAGTATATAAATCTTGGTTGGGTCTGAAGTAAGAGATGAGACTGTTGTGCAATCGAGTGGATTGATCACGACATTCCGGGGAAGATTATCATGGCTTTATATAGACGTCCTCTATCTAGCCACATTCTCTTCTCACTTTCTCCCCTCCTCTCCGTACCTGATCTCCCAGAGAGTCATGACATCTTGCTAAGTCGGCTTACCCCGCAAACTTCTTGTTCAACCAACGATTCCAGCCCTCACATTCCGCTTGCGAGTAACATCAATTTTCTTTCACATGAAGCCGACGGGGAGCACGGAGGCGCGGGGTCGAGGAGATGAGGAGGTCGCCAAGGCGGTCATCGCGGACTGAAGCGACCCCAGGCGGATGTGACGTTCCAGGGACAAGGCTAACGTCGGTGAAATTTCCATATGGAGAATCTGGAGAATATGGCAGAGGAGAAACGTGTGGCGGCATTCAGCAGATTGTGAGTGAACAGATTACGATGACCCTTCGACAAAACTGTACCATGCGATGTAGGTGTTGCTAATCGGGATATCAGGTTTGGTTACGGATGCAAAAGCCAGATTTAGGGGTTTATATCATCGCTTGATAGACTTTGGTTGGCTCAGCAAATGTCCTTGGAGTTGATCAGCTAGGCCCGCCTTCACGAGGGCATGCCTAGATAGACATGGAACACCTCGACAGCACAACATGGCCAGGTCGACTAGCGCCACAGCAAGGTTCCCTTGGGAAGAAATAAAGCCTTGCTGATCATGAGGCCAAACTGGACGCCAGACAGCTCGACTGATGTGACATTACGGAGCATCGCGGGAGAAACCAGTTCTCAGAGGTTCGTCTAAGAAAGCTCACACACGCCACAACTACGCTTCTCCACAGGCAATCAAAGATCGGTTGCCACAAGGGACAGGGCCGGCATCATCACCCAGGCACAATGGCGACAGGAAGGAGGGGGGGGGGTCCGCCCTACTGCAAGGAAACCTGGACAGGGAGGCGTGTGTTATCCAGCTTCTCCCCAGCCCCGCCGCTTAGAGCTCGAAATCCGGGGTTTGCGGGGAAGAATACGACTCTGACGATTTGGTCGGGGTTGCAGTCGGGGAATGTGCTGGCCAAGGACGAGTTCCTGCATCGGGGAAAGCACCGGAGCGGACAAGTGGCGGGAGGCGGTTGCCGTTCGTGTGCCTCACGTCGTACTCTGTCATGCCGAGGCGGCTTGCTTGGGTTAAAAAAAAAGCATCTGATGATGATGCAGAAGGAAGTCCTCGTCTCTGTTGATTTTCAAAAAGGAGCCAATCTTATGCGTCTGACCGACGGACTATGTGAGAGACCAAGTGTGAGCGAGTTTTGTAAACAGGATGTCGAATAGGTTATCGAGATGATGGCTCCGAGAAGGGGTAGCTAGCGTTCAAGGGCTCCCCGCGCCGGCGGTTGGATGCCGCTTTGGAAATCTGGGTCCGCGCTTGGTGGAGAATTCAAGGCTGGATGGAGGGGATCAGCGATTCGGGAGAGATGTGTGATGGCATATTAAGATTGTGACATCGTCCAATCTCACAACCGTTCGTCTCATGCTAGGAATCAATTAGAGTGGCTAGAAACGACCACTAAAACCAGTCAGTTCTATTAGTCAAGCAAAACACGTCTGTCTATCTTACTTAGCATGCAACGAGGGTTTGCGTCGAAAAGTTGAATTGAAGGGGTTGAGTTTGTCGTCTCTGAGAACTAAAAAGCGGCCGGGCAGGCAAGAAGCAGAAGAAGAAGAAAAAGTCTGTGACGGGGGCAAAAATGTTCCGAAACCGAGAATCGAACTCGGGGCTATGCCTAACCTCTTTGTGGATGAGAGGGCATCATGTTGGCCACTACACCATATCGGATGTGGATATTTTTGATGCCGCTTAATTCATATAGTGGCGTACCCATTATGTTCCCACAAGCCGTAGAGAGGCGACAAGACAGCTTTGGGCGTCGGATAGCTTAAGACAAAAAGCTAAATAGAACAAACATATTCATCAGGCACCATGTTGCGTGGATAAAGCTCGAGAGATGAGCTGAGTTGATTGGGTTCAGCTGAACCTTCTCAAAGCCTGAACTGGTTCGGACAGTTACGATTACTGTGTTTTCACACTGTATGTCAAATCTTTCGCCTAGCAGAAATCGTGAGTAAGCTTCACTGCATAGTCACCAAAACTAAACCTCATCAACTGCCCTTAAAAGAAACCTCAAATCCCAGGTCAACAGAATACTTCTACCGTTCAATACAAAGACATCATTCATCATGTCCGTCTCCCAAGAATTCACAAATTTCTACCTGCAGCGCACCACACAAGAGTTCGCCGAAGACCTCGACAAGGTCCGCGAGGCCGACGACTTCAAGGCCGAGTCGCTGCCTTTCCTCATCCACGCCCTGCAGCAAGGCACCGCGCTGTACCCTGCTGCCGACCAGCAGCGCGTCATGCGTCCCGCCGCTGCCGTGACTGCTGCTGCAGACGTCGCTGAGGATGAGGACGTCGACATGGAGGGAGCGCAGCCTGAGAAAAAGAAGGCGAAAGGCAGCAAGAAGGAGAAGAGCAAGTGGAAGAAGTCCTCGGGTTAAATATGAGAGGGCTAGGGAGATTTCTAGCGGAGAATTCGGGAAGCGCGCCCAATGAAGGGAAGGAAAGTCACGCGTTCTCGTTTGACCCATCACCAACGCCTGCTCGCGCGCACGAACATGGTATCGCGAGAATGACACCAAGCAATGAGTATCGCTCTCAGATTTGCGTGACGAGCTTAGGCCAGAGCATGACAACAAAGTGCCGGCGGTCCAACTTCAAGAGGCTTCAGCCAGGCGCGCTTGCATCATCAACTAGAGCCAGCTGAAGGCGCCAGAGGGGGTTAGGACGGGATATTGTTGCTGCGCTCAGGAGGAAGCGGTGAACGGAGCCATGAGAGTATTGAGAGCGCGTCAAGATCGGCAAGCGAAGGCGTGACCAGGGACAAACCATCATGTGTGAAGGAAGCTTAATAACAATCATCAGAGCAACCAAGGTATCAAATGCGGCATCGTGTATACATCATCATCATTAAAATGCCAGCTGCCTTGGCCGTCTAAGTATAAGGGGGTATCTCTGGATATCAGGGACCAAAATCAAACCATACACCAGGGCACCAATGTCGTTTATCGCACTCGTCCATGACTGCGCCGTCGCAATGTCGCGCAGCGTTCCACACTGCCATTATCATTATCACCACCACCATACCGTTGTAGGTGCAAGGCGTTCAAGCGAGCCTGTAGGATTGCCTGCCGGCCTCTTTGCGCACTGCCCAGCCCTTGATGGCAAGGACGATGATCTCCCATGCCATCAGGACACCCACCAGTCCCATGGTCACAGTATACATGAACATGGCATCAAGCTCGTAATGGATCATTCCATCGACCGTGTCGCTAGCCTGGATTTCGTTAGTTGGAAAATCTCACGAGGAAAAACTGCGGAAGACGGCGACTCACACTGGCCATGAAGATGATGCCTCCAGAGATCAAGCCAAATGCGGCCAGGAGCTCCGTTGGAGGCCGAGACGGGAGAACAGACTTGGGAGGCTTCAGGTACATGATCACGTAAGTGAAGCCTCGCGCAAACGAAGCACCCGTCAAAAGGTTGCCCCACTGCTTGTGCACCATGCTTGAGATCATCGAGTGTTGGGTGTGCGAGCTCATCATGATCCCCAGGAGGAGAATGACGAGCGCCGGAATGGGGTTGATGGAGACTCCATATTGCTTCGGGGGCTGCAGGATTTCGCGCTCCTCGTCGTCATATGTCTGCTCCAGATTGGTTGTAGCGATATCGACGACGGATGTATTCAAGAGATCACGGATGCGGCTCGACTCGATGAGCATGCCAAACTGTTTCCGCGTGTTAGCAAACCCCGTCTCGAGGCGTCTACTACCAAACTTACCATCCCACCACCGATGAACAGGACCGTGATTGAAATGTGCTCCAAGTCCTGGGCGCTGTATTCACCTCCCCAGTTTCCGAGATGCTCAAGAAAAATATTGGTTGAGCCGTAGACGAAAATGAGGGCGCTCTCGACAAATTCCGCCGAGGGCCGCCACTTGCCGTCGGCTCGTATCGGCCGAAGGTTCCACGCCTGTCGGACCACAAATCAGCAAAACGGGGCCGATGGCCTCCGGAAACGGGCCGCAACTCACCCATCCGAGTTCGCCGAAACTGCCGGTCCACCGGCCGAGGGTTAGCAAACCAAGCCAGAAGAAAATTCCACCCTTGATCCAATGCGCCAGACCGCTAAAGATCCCATTGCCCTCCTATGTCGAGTCAGCATTTGCATAATTTGTGCACGGTAGTGTTTTTCAGCACTTACGAAGAATCTCCCGTAGGTCACGATGCCCAAGCAAAATGTAGCGAAGCCCAGAGGTAGGATGGTCCTGTCAACAAAGTTGTAGACGCAGAGCAGGCCTTTCCGCACTCTAGAAGAGATCTTTCCCGTCACCTTCGCGATTAGCGAGCCGGCCTTGTTCTCGTGGCTGACAGTGAGCATAGGCATGGATGGACCGTCCTCCAATTCGTCGCCATCCTCAACATATTCTTTGCGGTGGACATCAGAGACGCGCGGAGAGACTTCGTTCGAAGAGGAAGACCGGGAGTGGCTTCGAAGTGACTCGGTACAAGGCTCGGTGCCCTGTCCGCTGTCATTGGACAGTCGGTACTTGTTGGCAAATGGCGACCCATTCATGCGGTGGTGCTCAGCCATAGCGGCTGTAGAAACGGGAATGAAGGACTGGTACTCGTTCTTGTTGTATGTTTCAAAATTACGGCTACTCGAAGCGCCGGCAACCTTTCCTAGCAGCCCGATTAAGACCTGCGCCGACACGACCCAGGTCACCAGCCAGCCAAGCTTGCTATGAGCGTTGTTAGGATACAGATCGGGGGTATTGGCGTTGTAGACCGTGGCCAGGACTACGCCAAGCGCATTCATCGCAAGGAAGATAAATTGGAGCGCCAGCGTATACCGTGAGCGCGCGATTGAAAGCATGACGGCTGCAGGGTATGTTAGTCGGCGTCGCATTCTCGGCGTTACCTTGGCAGACTCACCAACTGGCAGAACGAAGACCCAGGCAAGCACCATCGCCCCGATGTGCGCGTACATGACACCGGCATGATCTGCGAGAGCGAAATATGTTGGTGGGTAGCTATCGTTGGGTTTGGGTTCTTCTGCGGCGCCGAGGGGCATATCCATATTCATGGACATGCCGTCTCCGCCGTCTTCATGAGCACCATGGGCAAAGACCAAGGGCATGAGGCCCAAGACCACTAGTGTGGTGAGCTTCTCGATGGGTTGTTTCATCTGGGAGTAGGGAAAGTGTCGATTTCGCTCAAGAGATGGTAGAGCTGCTGCCAGCTCTAAGTAGGCGCAAATAGAACCTCGGGATTCCGTATGATGTATTCAACAACCTGGGGCTCACGTGGTTTGCTCCCGAGAACAGCTTTACGTGGAAGTGAGAGGGATGAGATGGAGGGGTAAAGCTTCAGGGATCCAGCAAGGGCGAAGCCGGAATACAAGTACTCTGCGGCATGTGGATTGAGCCAACAAACGCAAGAACTGAACAGCGCCGGAGCGGAGGCCGAGAGAAGTCCATATTTCGCGGCGGGGTTTTGGGCAAGCTACAGAGACGGTACTCGTGACAAGATCAGGTAAAGTAGGCACGTCAAGGTAGCTAGGTAGCTTCTGGGCAGTACTCGGCGAAGGCAGTGACTGCCAAAATTGAGGTGTCCACGTTCAAGAAGAGGTGAGGCCTGGCCGAGTAGGGCTGGCTGGGTTCCATGGTGGTGTGTAAGTCGATGGCACCAAAGCACAAAGGCCGACTCCGAGGGTTCCGGAGGCATCCAGTGGACGTCGGCGAAGAAAGTAGACGACGCCGCGTTACTGGGGGTTGAGTTACCTAAGTGAACGACAACCCACCGACCCGAGTTACGGCTGCTCGCCGGCGCGGAAACGGTGGAGGTGTGAAGTGCCACCTGGATCCTAAAATCTTTTTTCTTCCTCGTCTTTCCTCCCAAGTGGGGGAACCAGGCAGGGATGAGCTGCTGCAGTGCTGCCCGCTCACTAGACGCTAAGCTGAGTGTGGTTACGGCGGGGAGCCCTGCATCTTTGCGAGCCGCGTGCCGGCTGAGCTTTATTTTTCCCTGTGTTCGTGATTGTGGGAAGGGCGGTGGTGACGACATTGGACTGTGTACAGGCCAATTTCGCGCAGCAAAGGAGGGCATTCGCAAGGACAGTGCGGCGCATCCAGGGTTGGCACAGTAGGGGCGGGCTGCTATCGATGGATCGCCAAGCCCTACGAGCCGATTGCCGCACCGCCTATCCGTATGGTCTGTCTGATGATCCTTGGCCGGAAGTCTGGATATTTCAGAAAAGACCTGCGGAGATGTCGAGAAAGACCTACGGCGTCGAACACGCCAGACAACGGACATGCGAGCCAAGATTCTTCTTCTGCCCCTCCACACAAGACCGGGCTTGCATTTGAGTCATGCGGGAGACGCGAGGCAACGTGGGCGTCATGGTGCCATCCCTACCAAGCTCCTTGGAGACGACGTTGTGTCAGCCATGTACTATTATTCGTCGCAGCGGGGTGGGGGATGCAGTGCGCAGAGGTCAGCCATGTGCGAGCTCATGCCTACGCCTTAGGCGTTGCAATGCCGTTAATAATCATCAACGGAATGCCGGCTGATGCGGGAAGCGCCAAGTCAGCCTCAGTTCATGTCAAACATACTTTGTACGTGATATCGGTTGTCGTAGATGAAGCTCAGCCAAGATGGAGCTGAAAACTTGCCAAGACGGCTCCTTATATGCAATAACGGAGGAAAAGAGGACAGCAGACAAAGTCCGTTCCAGACACGCTCTTCGGCACTCGTAATGGACCACCCGGCGTTTTGAGATACAACATCCGGTTCCCCTCCGTTTTCTCTCACCGCTGCGACTCGCTTAGCCGTGCGTACCTTATGGAGACATACCTTACCACGGAGCGAAATTCTTGCGTCCGATCCATCCATCAAAATCGTGATCCCGCGCTCCCTGTGTAGCCCCCACCCAAACTTACCGGCACTCTCTTTCTGTCTCCCGTGGAATCCGGACTCAGGTCGGAGTCCGACCCGCATCGATCACGGGTTCGCAGGCCGCTGTACAGGGCCAGAAGAAATGGTGGGTGAGATTTTGACCCCAACACCGACCGCCACATCACCACGCCGAGAGCGCCATCAAGTAACGTAAGGAGTTCAAGTGTTGTGACTCACGACAGCGAGGTAAGGTACTGAGTACGCGCTGGTAACTAATTGAATTGCATAACTACCTTACCTAGGTACCTTACCCACGCGTCTTGAAGCTGCCGTCCAGAAGCGCTGCGATGCCCCACTGTTAACCTCGCTGGCCACGCGCTGGACGTCATCCCGTAGTGACCTACCTAGTGTAGGTACCTTAAGGTAGGTACCTAAGGTAGGCCCAGGTACTGAGGTTCCGCCCCGTCACAAGATGCCCGGCTCGTCCGAACCTTCCGAATGCCCTGTCTGTTGGTCTGTCTGCCTGCCTGCCTGTTGGCACTGCTTCGGCGGCATCTAAGAACACGCCAGACTTACTTACACTGACAGTTACGGGCCTTCTATTTGAATATTCCGTCTCCATCGCGGAAACGTCCGGATTGTGACTCTACCATGATGCGATCCAGCTCCTGGCAGCGCGCGGTTTCCCCGCTTCGCTACCTCATCTTCGTAAGGCACCTTACGGTCAAGCCACGCTCTACCCGACCTTAGACAGGCCATCTTGCCGCCGCGGGTTCCCGTCTTCGGCCCCGAAGCCCCGCCAACCCGCCAAAGCCTGTCGGACTGCTTAGGACTTTATAACTTAGTAGGTGCTTTACAACGACGAATATCCCCTCCACGTCCATCTATCGCCGCTCTGTGAAACCCTATCTTCCCTCTCGAGTTTTTCAAGAATTTGTATGACTCCGCTGGACGCAGGGACATGCAGCTCCTCTGGAACATCACGATAAATAACCTTGACCAGCTCCATGGGTGTCCAAGCGTCTGACGGGCCTCCATCGGAACCGACATTTCTCTTGGATCGCAGTGTTCGGATGACCTGCTCCTCTCTGGTCTTTCGATGGTTGATATACTCCATGATCTTGGATGGGCCGTTGTCAATCACTGGCCCATGACCTGGGTACGCCCTGCCCTTGAACAGGTGCCTCATCTTCTCCAGACTATTGAGGTATGTGGCGAGGTCCTCAAATACGGCTGTGCCCTGCCCCAAGACGTTGTCTGCCGTGAACATGGCGTCCTCTTCCTCCAAGACGAAAGCCATGTGATCCGCAGTGTGCCCGGGGGTAAAGACAGCCGTAAGGCTGACCCCATCAACGGCGAACTTCTGCCCGTCCGCCATGTCCGACTGGCCTTCCTCGGGCTGATTCTTGAAGATCTTGGAATTTGGCGACAGCTCCAAGAGCTGCTGAATACCACCCTGGTGGTCTCGGTGCCAGTGAGTGATCAGAACCGTCTCAATTGTCGCCTTTTCTTGCTCCAAAGTGGACTTGACAGCAGCAATCCATGACGGCAAGCCTTCGCCGGTGTCGATCAAGATACGGCGGCTGCCCCGGCCGAGCAGATATGTGTTGGTGCCTTGTAGTGTGAATTTTCCCGGGTTGCCGCCCAGAATGCGTATACAGAGGGGACTCAGGCGCTCGACCTCGGGAAGAGAGACAAGCTTCGTTGCCATTTTGACGCTGTGGCTGTAAGCAGAGCCGAAATGTTCGCGATTCGGAGGGGCGAAGCTGTGCAGTCGTCTTAGTCACGGACCGGCGTTGGAGTTACAATTTGAGAGTGCGCTTCGGAGCAGACCCCGCATTGTTGTCCCGTCGTCTTATGTGTCCTTGAACCTCTATGATCTGCGATGGAATTGTTTGAATATAAGCAAACCAAGTCGCCGTGCAGATGGGTGAAGGCGCAATCGAGGGGTTGCAGCCAAGATGCCGAGGTTGGCTGAGACGAAAGGCGCCCTATCTCCCAAGGTAGGCATGGACGCTTACCTCATCACATCGGTTTCTACTCTATTGCCAGTGACAACCACCCCTTCAGGCCCTTGGGGGCTGATCCCAGCTACACCCCCACTAAAAAGTTCCCTGGGCGCCAGTGGAACAACCTCTGTGATGTCTGCCTTCAGGGGCGAGGCGGCAGGCGGATAAGGTCACCTCAGTTCTTATCGATAAGAAACGGTCCCCCCGATCAGGTGCCGATAAGGTGGAATTAATGCTGTTGGCTGAGGTTCTTCTCGCGCCCGTCTCTACTAAGGTACGAGCAGAAGGCTAAAGGACGGCCTGCAAGTGTTCTCGTCTGTGCACGCGGCGCCAGCTTCGACATTTGCATCTTCCAGGGATCGTCCAAAACCCCCCAAATTGCTCGCCCTCTGTCCTGTCCAGGCGATCTCCAGGTGCTGTCTGATTGCTGCAGACCGCGACTGCTTCCGTCCGTCGCCACGCCGTCTCGAACGCGGTTCCCTGGGCTCGGCGCCTCGCGAGCAGAGCTGCCGCCTGCAACACCTGGCTTGCGCCGTTGAACCAGTGTCTTGAGCAGCTTCATCGAACGATTAACTGCTGCCAGCCCATCCCCGGCAAGCCTATAGTAGCCTTGTATTGGCCGTTGACGGAGGTGAATGCGTCTTCTGTTTGCTACGGCTTTTCCATTCTATGTTCGTATCCTTGAAGCTAACAATTGGTGTCGTCGCAGATTCCCTGCCGTTGTCGTCGCCTTCCGACCTGCGCTGCCGATCACCCTCCTCCCCATAATTACTACTCTGAGACTCTTCTCTCCATCACAAGGCAACTTTCTCATAGCTGTCGCAACTCTCTAAGGACAAGCCACCCCTATCACTGTTATCGGCGAACAGAACAAGGGGAAAAGAAAACAGAAGAAATAAACCCAGAGAGATTTTCTTCCAAGACACAAGGCTCAAGTCCGCCGAGGACCTGGCTGGTCTACTACAAACAACATGTCTGCGCGACCAACAACACCAATGTCTCCCAAGACCGCTAAGCTCAAGTCGCCAGTTCCAGGCACACCGGTCTTTGGCTGTGGTTCGTAGACCCTTTCTCCATTCGGAATTAGATGCGCTGCTGTGAAATCCTAGACAATGCTGACCGACACTAGAGCATGTTCAAAAACTGTTCTCCCAGTCACAGGATGTCATGAACTCATCCGTGTTTCACTACAAGATGATACTGAAGAACATCTTTGAGGGAACTCCAATTGTACCTCAGACGTCTAAGAATCCTGATGGACAAGCGATTACTTCCCTCACATCCAACTACCTCTGTCTGCAGTGCTCAACCATTGTCACCGAGGACGATCGTCTCAAGCACGGCACAAAGAAGCAGCACCGCTTCTGTTAGTTCCCCTTTCTAACTAACCGGCTCCTTTGCCACCTACTGACCTGGTCAGATGTTGATTCCCGCAGCGGGGCTCTTTACTGTCAAATATGTGATGACCTAGTATGGGACCCCACTCTTGAGGAACTGCGTGTGCGCAAGATGGGCACAGGAACCTTTTCAAGTAAGCTGAATCTCCACAAGAGAATGTTGACTACCCAAACACTTGTTTTAGGATGGATAGCAGGAGAGACAGCCAATGTAGACGAGTGCTGACGAGTGCCAGACCGCAAGAGAAAGCATGATGAGATGTTCTCCGACAGCATCAAGGACAACCCCCTATACATCTCCACCAACACGACAACCGCCTCCTGCAAGGCTAATGGCCTGCGTGGCATATATAACGCTGGTGCTACTTGCTATCAGAACGTCGTGCTGCAGAGCTTCCTTCACAACCCCATGCTGCGGAACTTCTACCTGAGTGATGGACACCAGAGCAACGATTGCCAATTGACAAACTGCCTGAGCTGTGCCATGGACGATATGTTCCAGGACTTTTATGCAGTTGAGAATACCAACGGCTTTACAGCGGCTAGTATCCTGTCTGGATTCTGGATCTCGGAGAAAAAGGCTTTCGAAAACCTTGTAACCACCAAGGAACAGGACGCGCACGAGTTCTTTCAGTTCCTAGCCGAGGAGCTACATGAACGCAATGGGGATGGGAAGAAGCCGGAGACGGGTAGCGAGCATACCTGCAACTGTATCATTCACCAGACATTCTACGGCAAGCTTCAAAGCTCCACGACGTGCCAAAACTGCGGCGGTGTCACGAACGCCGTGCAATCTTTCCTCGATCTCAGCTTGGGACTCGAAAACCTTGCTCATAAGAGGAAAAAGGGCGGCCAGAAAATCCCGAGCCTGACACTTCAAGAATGTCTGGACGAGGAGTACGTCAAGTACGACAAGTGCGAGTACCGCTGCCACAATTGCAACGGCATGCAGCAAGCACGAAGAAATACCAGTATTAAGCGTCTGCCCAACGTGCTTGCCATTCAGCTGAAGGTCAGTCCGGCTTTCGCTTGAGCCATCATTGCGTGCCACTAACCTGGTAGAATAGCGCTTCGAGTACAAGCAAGGTCGCCACGACAGGGCGCCGTCAAAGATTGACACCGTCGTCAACTTTCCACTGCAGCTCAATATGCTGCCATACACGAGCCGAGGCAGAGGAACGGAAGCCAAGGATGCGCACGAGCTGGGCAGATCCTGCACATACGACCTACTCAGTGTTGTCGTCCATGTCGGCGAAATCGACACCGGTAAGTAATTTCCGGAGAACAAGGCAGCTGCAGTTCAGCACTAACTCCTTTTGCCAGGCCATTACGTGTCCTACTGTCGAGTGGGCGACCAGTGGTTCAAGTTCAACGACCACAAGGTCGAAATGGCGTCGAAGTCGGATGTGCTTAGTGCCCAACCCTATCTACTCTTCTACATAATCCGCTCCCTCTCGTAATCTCCACCGGGAAAGAGCACATGTTACGCCGAGCACATGATGAACAGCGTTCGATAACAAGGAGCGTGGGCAGGGGTTGATAGTCTGGGAAAACGGGAAAGGTGTCAGGACTAGCATTTTGTTGGCGTTGGAAAGAATCTCGGTCTTGCATCAACATTAGGTTTGGGTCTTTGGCAGACATCAAACGCATTGGATGGCAAGCATTGGCATCACATAACCTGGCGACCGGGGAAAGGCCATCTTTGTATAGAACAGCGAGAAACCAGCGAAGTGTACTACTATTTCAATTCACATCGGAGGGAACTGTTTGGTCTCTGTAATAAGAGCTCGTCCAAAGCCAAGAGAAAAGTGCTCCTCCTGCTTCTTCAACTAGCCTCATTCCTCCACTTCCAGTCTTTGCACTCAAAGTTGGCGTAGCAGTAAAACTCGTTGCTAAGACCTCTGCTATGTTTGGGCTCAAAAGTCGTGGTTTTAACGCCCAGTGCCTTGTAAACCTTGCTGACAAGACTCTCCATTCTCTCGCCTGTGCAGACAACTACTCGTCCCTTGGAAGTGGGGTTAGACTTCATCATCCACCGCACCGTCATGGCAGCTGCGCTATTGTCAGCGCTTCGGAGGCTCAGTAACGATTTAGGATTTCGTACCTTTCGTCTGGCAATCCTCGCTGAGAAACGGGGGGTCGCAAACGATGCGATCAATCGCGCCCTTCAGCTCAACTGGAGCATCGGGTATCAAAACACTATTCTTTCACAAATCTGTGGCCAAGAATGACGCACCTGGAAGCTTGAACGGCTGCTGGAAATCGTAAAAGACAAACTCGGGGAAAACGTTGAACCGCATGTCGTGCTCAAGGAGCAAAACCTTAGGCCGTCCCAGAGTGTGACCGCGGGCGTTCTGTTCCCAACTTTAGTTACGCGCCTGCAAAAGGGTTGCTGTCCCTGATAACCATACTAGCAAGTTCCGCAGCGCAACAAACACGCTGGGCGCAGACACAACGCCAATGGTCATGCCCTCGCCAGCACCCTCTAGGAGCTGGCCGGCGATCAGGTTTGCCGTCTCGTCGGAATACTGCGCCCCAGGAAGTCAGTACGTACGACATTGAGTGAAATGAGGACTTCAATGGTTCGTACCCAAAACTGTGACTCGTTCCAGTCTTCAGTGAAAGCCTCCATGGAAAGAGGAGCACCGCCGGCAGCATTGGCCTCGGCTTGCGCCTTGAGTTTCTCAAACTTTTCCTGATGGGCATCTTTCTCGGCGTTGAACTCAGCCAGGGCCGCGAGAGCGTGAGAAGAGAGGGTGCTGTTGATTGATGTAAGTCAGTTTCTGCCATGGTTTTTCGAGGGGCGTTCCATTAGTGGGGGTGCGTTTGGAGAGAAAATTTCCGACGGTTCTAACAAACGACTTACAGAGGCTCGTCGTCACTGTCCATATTGAGTCTACGTCCAGTAAGGGATCCGCTTCTTCAGGTCAGTACGGCTCGACGGTCGACGAGAGCTATGTGGTGGATCAACTGAGCACTTGGATTTTGGTAATTGCAGCGCGAGGTAAACGGCAAAAAGAGGGTGGGGGACCCTATTTTGAGCGTCAAAACCCAGCACAGCAACCTCAACGAATCAGCTGGCACGGCCAACCTTTACGTGATGATTACCGCTACGAACAATCTCACGGCCGCAGTTAGACTTGCACTCTTAAATGACGTATTCAGACTGTACATGAATTCCTCGACTTTTGCAACTTGTCTAGCTGACTAATATTTACACTCTAAACGACTTGCTGGCCCAGAATCAATCCCTCCCCAAAAAATGGGATCCAGGCTTACTGGTCGTCAAGAACGTGCAGGTACTTGCGCTCCTCCTTCTTCTCCTTCTCTGTTGCTGGGGGGAGGTCGTAGAAGTTGCCGCTGCGAAATCCTTGCTGCAGCATAGTCAGTATCGGCCATCTCCAGATAAACCTCACACGCGGTCTTACCAGGTAGTGGTAGGTGAACTTGGCGATGTCACCGGGCTCAATGCCGAGGTCCTTGAACGTCTTTGCTGTCTCGTCGATTTCCTGGTCGATGAACTCACGCTCGATCTCGTCGGCGGACATGACGTCCCACCAAAGGAACTTGTTCAACAGACCGGCAACAGGCTGGAGGACCTTCTTCGGAACGTTGATGTGTCGGCGCTTCTTGAAGATTTCGCGGTCGACATACTCGGCAATTTCGGCCATGGAATAGTTCTTGGGACCGTAGAGCTCGAAAGTCTGGCCAGCGGTGCTGTCATCGTAGAGCATCAGCTCGAGAGCCTGACCTACGTCGATAGACTACAAGTGTCAGGGCCCGCGTTTCAACTAATATTCGTGTTTCAAACGTACGTGAACGGGCCAGAATCTCTCCTGCATGTTGTTGGCAGTGAACAGGTTCATAACGCTGGCAAGCTTAAGGAGAAGGTTGTCTTCGAAGCCGAAGATGGGTGCCGGTCTCACGATAGTCGTCTCGGGGTAAATGCTGCGGGCGACCTGCTCTCCGCGCGCCTATTGGACTGGTTAGTCCATCACTTTTGTCTTGAGTATTCTGTGTCTAACCTTGGTGCGGTAGAACTCGGATGGGGAGTCCAGGCTGGCGCTGTGACTCGACATGTGAATATAGCGATCCACGTCGTACTTGGCAACAGCCTCAGCTATACGTTCGGTTCCCTCAACGTGAACATCCTCCAGCGAGAAGTTCCTGCGTGCGCTCTTAGCCATTGTCCCCGGTGCCCCTGCATACAGATAACCTACTTGGTGGGATAGTTTCGGCCGACCAGGTTGTAAACTACATCCGAATGTCTGACGCTCTCCTCGATTGACTGGGTGTTGTGGAGATCGTACTCCTGACGTAATGTTTAGCCATTGATCGCGATGAACCCCTCTGTTGTAGGGAGACCATACAATGAAGACGACTCTGCCCAGATCACCAGAGACCTTGAGATGCCGCTTGGCCATCTCCTCACGGAAGGGAATGACGACCGTACATCCCTGGCGGGCTATATTGGAGAGTCAGATGTGCTGCCATCGTCGAAGATATCCGCGACGTACCAAGTCTGTTCACGATGTACCGTCCAACTTGGCCCGTTGCGCCAAATACCGTCGCAGTGTGTCCTGTGATTCGTTTTTAGATAAAGTTCCGAGTCGAGCGAAGGAAAGCATACCGCCGAGGGAGTGTCTAGGAAGAACATGGTGTCAGCAGTACTCTTTGCCCGCGCAATTGAACCGTTCGCCTACCTTCCGCCCTGTGTTCGTAGGATAGGCTTGCCCGTCCGGGTGATGGCAACATCAGAAATGGGCTGCCTTCTCAGGACATTGTGCGCAACCTTCTGGGTTGACCGCACGGCGGTCGGAAAGGAGGCCATTGTCGGATATCGAGGCGGCAATGAATGAGTGCGATAGCCTCCCAATTGACTGCCACTTGAATGCTTAAGCGTAGCCGAAAGCTCCAAAGTCGCGAGCTTCATCCAGACCGGGGCGGCGGACAGGCGGGTCACGTGGAGGCACGGACCAGATTTGGTCATAGGATCGGAAAAACGGCCATTGGCTGTAGCATGGATCCGGTCGGGACCGTACCTCACTTCGCGGCTTAGGTAAGGATTGTCAGTCCCAAAGCGTCCTGAGTAGCAAGAGTTGGTAGGTACCTTAGGTAGGCAGCACGTAGCTGACTGACCAGGCTGCTGGCTAGCCGCGTTATGTGCATCGTCCCTCCGCTCCGGAGCTTGCATCCATCACATACCAGCTGCTTTACAACTACACGAAGCTTCCGGCGTTTGGCACCACCAAAACAGACACCCGGTCTCTAGGCAGTAGCGCCTCTACCACATACCTACGAATCGAAACGAAACCGCGATCATCGCAATCAGCCTCGATTGTGTCGTCGCCCCGGGCACTCGAAGCTATCCCACCCCACCACACGAGCCTCAACCTCAACCTCCACCTCCACCTCCACGAAGATGAACGTTGACACAATTCCCGATTTCCTGGCGGAGCAGCGCGACGAGGCCCCCGAGGAGCTTCAGCACCTTGTTCTGGAGTTCGAGAACTATTGGGAGCGGAAGCTGTGGCACCAGCTTACTGATGCTCTGGGTCAGTTCTTTAGCCACCCAGGCAGCAAGGCCCAGCGGCTGTCCTTCTACAAGGTCTTCATCCTCAAGTTTGCGGATAAGATAAACCAGCTTAAGCTCGTTGATCTGGCTTTGAAGGCCGCCACGGAATGCAAGGGTAAGAAGCATTGGGACCTTGACCAGTGATGGTGGGACACTGACAAAGACGGCATAGACGACGAGGAGCGCCTCTCTTTCCTTCAGGGTGTTGCGAAGAAGGTCGATAGCGAGAACTCACAAGATGCTCTGGTGTACGCATCTGTCGCCGTTGCTAGAGTAAAGTTGAACTTGGAGGATATGGACGGCGCCAGGAAGGACCTCGATTCGGCCGAGAGAATACTGGACAGCTTCGATTCGGTCGAGACTATTGTTCACGCCGCCTTTTACGATGCGAATGCCAATTACTACCAGGTAGGAAAATTGTGGTATTATTGATCTCGGGCCGTTACTGACAGAAATTTCTCGTAGCGCAAGATGGACTTTGCCGCATACTACCGCAATGCCCTCCTATACCTCGCCTGCATCGACCTCAACTCTCTCACAGCTCAAGAGCGCCATAGACGGGCGCTGCACCTCAGCATCGCCGCCTTGGTATCCGACACCATCTACAACTTTGGCGAGCTTCTTCTGCACCCCATCCTCGATGCCCTCAAGGGAACCCAGGACTCGTGGTTCCGCGACCTGCTCTTCGCTTTCAACCGTGGCGACCTCCAGGGATTCGAGGCTCTCTCTGCCAAGATGCGCTCAAAGGAACTCCTCAACGAGAATGCAGGCCACCTGCGCCAGAAGATCTACCTGGCTGCTCTGACAGAGGCCGTCTTCCGCCGCCCGCCCCACGACCGCGCTATGTCTTTCAGCACCATCGCTCAGGAGACTAAGGTTCGCCCTGACGAGATTGAACACTTGATCATGAAGGCCCTGAGCCTGGGTCTCTTGCGTGGAAACATTGACCAAGTGGATGAGGTTGCGCACATTACTTGGGTCCAGCCGAAGGTTCTTGACATGAAGCAGATTGCCAACATGCGCCAGCGGCTGCTTGACTGGGACTCTCAGGTTAACCAGCTGGGAAACTGGATCGAGACGACCGGTGGCGATGTGTGGGCTGCTTAGGGAAGAGGAAAGATTACGGGCTGACCAAAAAGGCGTCTGTAATGTTGGTCGGTAGGAAAGACCAGTGTACACCACTAGAATTAGAGAGATGAAGAGAAACTGGCCCTTGATGGTGGGCCAAAATGATTCTGATGACAAACAAACGACAACGGCCTCCATGCCTCTGATATACAAGTCCTGATTTAATGGTTGCTCGAAAACATGCCCTCTTCTTATAACGCCTCACTGTTTTTTCTTGAATGCCAATGACTCGAATTAAGCCCTTTTCGCTGAGGACGCAGGGTTCCCGAGCACAATAACCGAACCCATCAGCCAAGCAGGCCACCACACGCCCCAGATTATGACAGGCGTGTACATGCCCCAAACGTCCCAACCGAAAGCCGCTTCTTTGAGGACCTCCCCAATGCTAATATTGAAGTAAGTCGAGACGGAGTACAGAGCTGCCGTAGGTGAGATAAGTTGAAGGAAAGCCGCGCAAGCCCACCGAACGGCAGGATGGTGCGGCCATGGGTGCATGAAGGAGAGTGGACCGGCCATAACCCCCACAAGAAAGGCCAGAGAGAAGTTAAGGGTGGCTAGAGCGGAGAGAAACATGCCCAACAAAAGTAGGGAGAAAGACTTGATGAGCTGGTATTGCTGAACCGTGGGGTTGTAGACGGATGTCATCAGCGAAGAGATGAGGAAGGGCAGAGCACAATTAGTGAGCGAAAAGACCGTGTACGCCCCAGCAAGCATCTGTTGCAGCTGTCAGAGAAAAGCAAAAGAATTCAGGATTCAGGATTGGTCGAAACTTACACTTGCGGGCATGTGGTTAAAGACGTACAGCGGAATCACGCCTAGGAACTGGCAGATGGCCACGACACCGAGTGGTAGGAACAGATCCCGCTCAACGGCTCTAGTGGGAAGCGTGTGTTTGTCCGTCTCCCGCAAAGCATCTTCGGAAGACTTATCATTCGCGGTGACTTCACATTCTGACTTGACCACAATGGGAGGCTGTTCTTGATGACCACTTTTCACCCACAGCGAAATGGCAGTGATTGTGAAGCTTGCTGCCAAGATCATGGCGCTAGGCAGATAGGTGCCGATGCTGACGAACCTCTCTTTATGCATGAGCAGATAGAAGAAGAAACTCTGATGGAGGTGTTCGAGAAGGTTGTTCAGACTCCGGAAAGTGCCTTCGATCGTACGGCCCATGCCCATCTCGTCGTGCCATCCCTCACCGAAAGGCTGCAGTGTGACCGCATCGACGTGGTAAGGTATGAAGCTGCTGTGGGGGCCAGAGGCGTGTCCCAGGCCTTGATTCAGCATGCCTCGAAGCATAGTACGCAGACGGTCCTGGTACTTGTCCGAGTGCGTCCACATCTCTTGAATGGCGGTTCCCATACCCATCTGGCCCCCGGCAATATTGACGACAGAGTTGATGAGATCTAGGTTTGGAAGCTGGCCGTTGATGCCGTCGTAAATGATGTGGATGGACTCGAATCGATGTTCCTGGGGATAATCAATGGCAATGGCGCCTTGGAGGGCGCCGGACTTGAGAGGCAGAGAGTTCACTCTGGCGGAGTCATGGGAGTCGTGGTAGGCGTCGACCCACGCTTGGGTTCCTGTTCTGCTGTCGGGGGGAACAACCAGGATAATGTCTTTGGACCATAGAGACCACCTCTTGAAGTACCGGGCCAGGGTCAATGCTAGCGGAATGCCATTTTGATTGAAGTGGCCATCGACCGTCCTCCAAGCTGCGACCAACACAATCGCTTCCGTCGCATCGCCACGTGGGGCTTGTAGGATGGCGTAAATATTCTCGCCTGAGTAAATGTCGCCGGCCGACTCGTACGTGTAGTTTTGGCGACCGACTTTGAGACCGACGTTCTTCAGGATACCTTCGAGCTTGTCATTGATTCTAGATGGGGATGACCGTCAGCTTGTGGCTATGGGGTGCTTCAATGGGAGTGCACACACTCGTAGTTGGACCTGTCCCTGACCGAGTTGACCTCTTGCTTATACGCCCGCAGTACGTTCTGGTCGCTGCCTCCGAAATAGGTGTGTACCTGACCGGGAAGAAGCGCATTCTCGGAAATGTAGGTTCTTCGGGAGTAGTCGTTGAGCGGCAGGAGGAACAGCCAAGCAATACCACCGAGGATGCAGGCCAGAGAAATATAGGGCGGAAGCTTGAGGATGCGTGGATCGCGTCGCAACGAAAGGGCCGAAGCTATTAGGGACAAGTCAGAGCTGCTCGATGCCAGTCAGGGCCACGGCGGGTTGCATCCTCACATATCAGTCGTGACATGACGATTTCGTTCTGCGGCAGCTTCAACAAGCTGCGCAATCGCACAAATCTAATCGACCAGTCTGCGTGGTGATTCTTTTGAAGACAGTCGTCATCTCCAGGGGTTGTTGTTCGTACCTTGAGTCAGCTAAGGTAAGGTACCTACGCTACGAGTGCCTTACCTGTGCTGTAACTTCGCGACCCCAGAAATCGGCGCCCAAATATTCATTTATCCGAGCGCGTTGGCCAAGCTTACCTACCTACCCCTGATCAGATGGCCCGGGGGTATTGAGGCCCGAGAAACACAATTCGACGAATACGCAGGGATCGTCCAGGGTCCGGTCAAAAGGCCCCGTCAAAAAAATGTATAATTTAGCTTCTTTTGCCTGTTGTATCCTCTACCATCGATTTTGGTAGGCGTGCGGGATTCAGGTTTTGCCAAATAATTTACACACCCATGAAATATCTTATCATTCAGGCTTTCAGACTAACTCTACTTCAAGCACCTGGGGTTTTGTAAGTGCTGGTCTAAGCGCACTCCGAGAATGGGCGAGAACGAATCCCACTTTATAATATACTACAACGAGAAGCCCCCTGGCAGAGGGACCAGAATCAACACAATGATGTCCCCTTTTGCCCGTAACGTAACTCCAAACTCCTACCAAGACGCAATTCGTCTGCTTGGGGCAATAGATCGAATATATAGTACAGTCCGGCGTTCCTGTTTCAAGGACCGAGTCTCTGCGTGCTGCCCACCAGAGCAATGGGCGCACTTGTACCGGGAGGGTGGCTGCTGGAGGGCAAGACACCGAAACGACCGTACGTCTTCTGGTCGACGCTTACGTAGTGAGGCAGACGTCCCAAGAGGTTCAGCTTCGACTCAACCCACCGCAATGCCTTCTCCGGTGGGCTCAGGAACTTAAGATATCCGAGACCAACTGAAGGCAGAATGTTAGTGTTCCGGAAAATGAGAAGGGTGGTTGCACGTCGTGACTCACAAAGATATCCAACCAAAACACCACATAGATGGCCTAGCAAACTCGTGCCGGGAACGAGCGCTGTAACGACCAGAACGAGGATCAATGGCGTTGTCCATGTAGGAATGGAGTGGGTCGCAATCGTCAAGTAAGGGTTCGTCTTGTATGTGCGGATAGCCTCCATTCCGAGAAGAAGAAAGACCCATACGCTGTGATGCGCCAGACATCAGTCTCCATTTCAAGGTTCCTACATTCATCAAGTCTTGGGTTCTCTTCCTCACCTAGCGCCCATAACACTAACATTGCCCTTGAAGAGAAATCGCTCGATCAGCACGTATACGACAGCCGGAATCGTTGAGAGCGCTGCCAACAGTTCAGTCAGAGATGGATCGCAGGGATATTATGAGGAAGTTCGTACGGCCGATGAACAGCGCAATAGACGTCAGGGTACCGAACTCGGCCTCGAATCGCTCCAGTAACGGTGTCAAGGCGGCAAGGTTGAGGATGACATGGATGAAATTAACATGAACGAAGGGATATGTATTCATTCGGTACGCTATTGAAGAAGCCAGAATTAGCAATTCGGTCTTCGCAAAAGAGGATGCGAGAGGGGCTCACACGACGTGAAGGACAGCTGGTCTGGGATCAACGCGCCCCATTGCTTCACGTCCCAAGCCGGTTGTAAGCTGGCAGCCCATGCTGCCACAATTGCGAGCAACACGATGCGCGTAAAAAGAGGTAGCCGAAAGATATAGGACCGGGCCCTGAGAGTGCTGAAGGACGTCACGTTGGAGGCCATTGTTCCGCCTTCTTCGGATCCGACGACGGCAACAGTTCCGCGCGATCCTCAAGGGTTCCGCAGGCCAGTTCTGGTAGGGTTTCCTTGATATATCCTCTGGGCGATCGCTTCGATGGAAAGTTGATGTCGGGCGACGCAGGAACCTCGAGTTGTGATCAAGCACGCTCGTGTCTGGCGGCGAGTGGGAAATTGAAGACAGCCTGTCGCATGCCCACTGCCCTCTCGGGCCTCTTCGGACGATCCTCCAAAAATGCCAGATAAGGACCAGAGTTCCAGACCGTTCGGCTTATCGCCACGTGATCTTATCCTACCAGCAACATTACACATGTCACATACCCGACCCAGGCTACTATCCCGGGACACTGACAATCTTGTATGTATCGGTACCTACCTTACCTTAACAGTGAACGTGACCTGGGTGCCCACTACCTGACCTAGGTAGGTACCTGGTGTGGTGCACCTGGCAGTCCCGTTCGCTTGATGGGTCCGGAGCCGACAGACACCCGGACCCCCGTGAGCGGTGAAGCAACTTTTTTACAGTTGCTGCCAAAATTCTGCCCCGCCATTGCCATCTCGACCTACATTTTTGGGAATTCTGCCACCTTCAGCATCCCGAACGCGCCTGCGATCCTCGCTCTTCCAGCCAACTATCACTGATAAGCCAGCAAAATGGGCGTGGGAAACAAGCGGACATTGACCAAAACGCGGAGGAAGTTGAGGTAGGCCTGAAGACTTCGCATTGCATTCAGGGCGTTTCTGACAACCTGGACAGAGACGTCGACCAGATCAAGGCCGACATGCTTTCTCCACGACATTTACGGCAATGGAAGGACACGAAGGCGCCTGAGGATCTCCCTGGCTTGGGTCAGCACTATTGCGTCGAATGCGCCAAATGGTTCGAAACCGAGATCAGCCTGGTCGGTCATCAGAAGGGAAAGCCTCATAAGCGCAGGTTCGTACCAAGTCGGCATCCGCTACATATTTGGTCCTCTTCGTATTGTCACACTGCTAACTATTCTTTAAGAGTCAAGCAGCTCAAGGAGGAGCCCTACACCCAGAAGGAAGCCGAGGCTGTCGTTGGTCTTCGAACGGATAACAAGGGCCCTAGCAAGGGCGGTCCGGAGAGGGCCATCGACCAGGAGGTTGAGATGGAGACCTGATCGTCTCCGCCCACACGTCTACCTGTGGCTTGAAAGTAGACAACTGAATGATACCCTTTCGCTATGACGAACTGAAATGGCCTCTGTATCATCCCGTTCCCACTTCCCAGCACTCGACATCCTCTGCACTGACGCCAGTAGAATCCGGCGCGGTGGGCAAGCAGTACCTCAACTTGCATCGTATGCCATGGCGAAATCTCCATGGAACATACTCATCGGACACCACGGCCTCGGGCACGGGCCAGACCGCTAGGCCGGCCTCTTTGCGACTCGGCGGCTCCACGGCGTCCTCCTCTTGCGCCACGGGCTGAAGTGCCACGAGTACTTGGAGCCGGCACACGCGAGCCTCGTACTTCGGGTGTTTTCAATCTCGGGGTCGGCTTGGCGGATGCGGGAGGGTTGTCGACGAAAGAAACATCTGTGGTCCTGTTGGTAGGTTAGGAACTGTCCAGGGCGGTACTAGGGTAGCCTGGAAGAAATACATAAAGGTCATCTCGCCGTCATTTTCTGGCCCAGTGTCTGTTCGAGTGGGCGCTGTGCATACGAGACTCGTCAGTTCGCAATCCATGATCTGCAGATTCTGTGCGCTGAAAGCGAGGGGTACCTGAATGTGCGCCCGACTCCTCTTGCTGCCTTGCGCGTCGGAAAGATTCTGTTATGGGCCCCTTGTACCAACGTCAGCCACGCCTAAAAGCAAGAAAGCCGCTGGTTGGGGCACACGCACATCTGGGTAGTCTACGCAGAAAGCGTTCATGTTGAGGCCGTACAGAAAGCTGGCAAAAGACTCGCTAAAGCGAGCCAAGCTCTCATGCATCAATTGGAAGTGCATCATGTTGGCTTCGAGGTCGGCCATGGCGTCGGACAGCTCAGCAAAAGCTGGCTCGAAAGTGTTCAGAGGGAAAGGTTCGCCTCCATGGACGCTTTCTCTGGCTGATTCCCTGAAAGATGATCTGGAGGAGGGGCGTAGCGGGGTCGTGGGACGCGACGTACGCGTTCGAGAGGTCGACCGCTTGCCGCTGGACTCGGGGTGGTCGGCCATGCTAGGAGGCGGTGTGATGTGGATACGGAGAGTATAGAGATTGCCGACAATGAAGTGTTCGTGGTAGGTGGCTATCTGCGCAGCGTCGGTATCAGTATTTTCGCGGCGTGGCTATTCACGCGGGAAGCTGTCGAATGGGTTTGGGGGGCATCAACTGAAGCGAGAATCAACATCAACAAACCTGGAATGATGCGAGTGGCCGTTGCGCACGGCTGTTGCTCCTGTCTCTGGCGGGGTTCAACCTGACAACCTAAGGTACCTTAGCCCCCCGCACCTAAGGTTGCCGGCCGGGACGAATCTACCACATCGTTGAGGGTGCCCCGGGCCCTGTAAGTTGAATCCCCAAAACTGCAGTTCTGCACGTGTTGGCGTGGAGGGGTCAACTACTGTACCTACCTAATTATAATAGGTACTCGACGGGGAGCAGAATTTTGTTCAATGTCACTGAATGACGCAGACCTCGGCACGTTACCTAGTAAGGCACTAGACCTTATTCGTCGCATGGACAGCTAGATAAGGTACGTCAGGTACCTGTATCCGTATTCCCCAGGTCCCCAGCCTGGGTGAGGTCGCGTGGGCGAGTCCAGTATCTGCAGGTAGAATGAGCTGTGCTGAGTGAGTCGCAACGGAAGTCAATAGCCAGCGGGCTTTTTCGCGCAACTTCGGTAGATGCGATACGAATGCCTTGAGCACTTCATTCATACGAATACGCAAAGTACGTCGTATTTCATCGCTCGGCTCCATTATTATCGTCTTAAACATCTAGATGGCAGTCAACAACACCGAAGGTACAGTGTAGGTAAGGTATGGAGGGCCAGGTAGAGAGGGCGCTGCTTGTACCTACCTTACCTCTTTCGAAGCGTCTTCGCTCCTTCCCGTCACAGCCACCTTTTTTACAACCTGGAAAAGACAGGCACCTAATTACCCCTCCCCTCCCTTGCCCCAACACTTGCGCGCACACTTACTCACATCCGCGCTCATGGAGAAGCATTCGTCGTAGTCCACAGTTTCAGCATCACACCCGCCATCCACCGCGACACCTCCTGCTGATCTTTACAGCTGCCGTTCTCCAGACTGCCTAACTACTACCTACCCACATTAACGGAAGCTATCGTGTCCTGCTGGTGCGTTTGAACTGAACCACTCACTTCCGGAACGCCCGGAGATTGAATAGCTACCGCAGCTTCTTGGTCGCCAGCAAGAGCATTCGATCCTTGCGACGGCGTCGTCGTCGTCGTCTTGGTCCACGTCTAAGCCTCCCCGTCCCTCCCTCCCTCCCCTCCATCCCCCCCTCCCTCTTCCCCTAACCCTGCCCTCCATTTGCTCCCGCCAGCTAGGTCTTCCGCCCGCATCATTCACGGCTCAGCATCACAGTCTGAGCGTCAGCTACCGCTCCGGCGCAAACCTACCTTGCGGCGCTCGCTCTCTCTCCGTTACTTGCATACCACCTACCAACAACAACGAGGCCACTGTGTACTGTCCGTAACTGTCGGCCGTGTGCTTGCCACATTGTCTGCTTAATATCGCTGCTGCTGTTGTCCGAGCCCACTTTAGGACCATCATCGACGCTCTGTTGTCTGCGGTTGTGGCCCTCAACAGCATCAGACAACCCACGAACATTGGTACTCTACTCTTCGGTGTCTCCCTCAAGTTCGCGTAAGTGCCTTTGTGACTCTCAGCTCATCCCATTGTGTCATTACGGCATTTCTCCCTCGCCTAGTCGCAGACGAGAACTGTCTTTAGCAACACTCCCTCGGTCTCACCTGGTTGGCTCTCTCACGTCGCCCTTTTGCAAGTGGCTTTCGTCTTCCACGCACCTCAAATTGGGATGACCCTGCTGACCGTGCCAGATTCTGTGTCAGCTGCGCCAAATTAGGCCCGGGCATTAATAGACCTTCTCGACTGATGCTGGCCAGCTTGAAACCGCAATCCTCGGCTTTGCCTCGCATTATCACATTTCCACAAAGAGTCCTTACAACAACTTCGAGATACTACTTTGTGCCCTCGTCTTCGCACTTTGAACGACGCACCCTGGTTGAACTTCCCATTGGGCGAACCAACTGCAATCTCGTACCATCGAAGTTCAGGCGAGTCCGCACACACGGACTAGGACAGTCATCGGACCCCTCCAACTTGAAGCCTCCGCGCGTCTTGCTGCAGTCCCGCGTCGACTTCGTCGCACTCTCAATCGCCGTTTTCTTCATTTGCCTTGGGTTCGGCCTGCAATACCAGCAACCAGCACCTGGCGCCAGCACCAACACCGACCCCTTGAGCTCCGAAAGCCTGTCGCTGGAAACCATGGCGTCCGGCATGCCCCCAGGAAGACCGGGAAATCTTACCCCAGACCAGGAAGAGAAGTTGCGCAAGCTGTGGAACCTGATTCTGTCCTTGGGCGAAGACAATGCAACAGCAGACGGCGCGGCCGCAAGCACAGCCCCGAGTGAGACTTCGACACCAGGCAAAAATGAGAAGCCCAAGAAGAAACGCGTCTCACTTTTCAATCGCAAAGACAAGAAAGAGGAAGGTGCTTCCTCAAGCACCGTCAGCAGCCACATCAAGGACGATGGAGAAGACAAGTATGGTCAGACGAAGCAATTCCTCGAGGCCCTGGCCAGTCAGAGTCCCGAGGCCCTGCGTGCCACAATATGGTCCATGGTCAAGCATGACCACCCAGATGCCCTGGCTCTGCGCTTTCTGAGGGCGCGGAAGTGGGATGTTGATAAGGCCTTCGTGATGATGATCTCGACCATGAATTGGAGATTGACTGAGATGAAGGTTGACGAGGAGATCATGAAAAACGGCGAGGCGGGTGCACTCGAAGCTTCCAAGAGTGCGGACGCAAACACCAAGAAGCTTGGCCAGGACTTCATGGCCCAGGCCCGATCCGGAAAGACATTTATCCATGGCATTGACAAAGCGGGACGACCAATTTGCATGGTGAGAGTCCGTATGCACCGACAAGGCGAGCAGTGCGAGGAGAGTCTTGAGAAGTACACAGTTTTCTTGATCGAGACCTGTCGCATGGTTTTGGCCCCCCCTATTGACACTGCGGTATGTGCTGCTCCAAGGCATGGACTGGATGATATGGTACTAAATTATTGCAGACAATTGTTTTTGACATGACTGGTTTCTCTATGGCCAATATGGTGGGTAGCATCACCTATATTAGCTGGCAGGTATGACTGACTATCATACCAGGATTATACACCAGTCAAATTCATGATCAAGTGCTTCGAGGCAAATTACCCTGAATCCCTAGGAGCTGTCCTAGTGCATAAAGCACCCTGGGTATTCCAAGGTTTGTTCACTCCGAGTCGTGAGTCCCAAAATCTGTGATAGTTAACAAAGGGTAGGTATCTGGAAGATCATCAAGGGCTGGCTAGATCCTGTTGTAGCCAGCAAGGTTCACTTTACCAATAACGTCAAAGAAATGGAAGAATTCATTCCCACGAGCCACATCCTCAAGGAACTCGACGGCCAGGAGGACTGGGACTACAAGTATGTCGAGCCGGTCGCTGGAGAGAACGATAAGATGAAGGACGCCGCCGCGCGGGATGCTCTCCTCGCCGGGAGAGAAGAGCTCATTTCTCAATATGAGGAAGCCACACTGCAATGGATCAAGGAGGCAGGAACTGACAAGGAGGCTGGTATCAAGGCGCAAAGGGACGAGCTTGCTCACAAGCTCAGGGACGATTACTGGAAGTTGGATCCTTACCTGCGCGCCAAGTGTGTTCTGGACCGAACCGGCGTCATCCGCGATGGTGGAAACGTCGAATTTTATCCGAAGACTGCACCCGCCGTACCGACTAATGGTGCTACCAATGTCGAGACATCAGCAGACGATGTAGATTAGGATGCGACGAGATCGGCACGAGTTTCATGAGGCTACACCCGCGGTAGAGAGATCCAAAAGAAAACAAGCTGGTGGCGCCCGGAGGGTTGTTTGAATTACAGGAACCTAGACGTTCTTCCTGCTGCTATACATAGCAGGAGGGCTCGAATATACCACTTTTGAATGGGTTTACATCTTGGACTTAAGGTCCTCAAACAGCGCTTTGAGCTTATCCATATCGGTTGCCTGTTGAGGCCAACCGACACCCAGACCTTCGGCCTCGTTAGGCTTTGGAATCTAGCGAAGAAGAAGTCAGCGACGTATCCAAAAGAGAAGAACCGGAGGACAGTTACCATATGGAAGTGAACCTGTATCGTGTCAGTCGTCGAGTATCGCGAGGGAGGCTGGGTAGAGTGTCAACTTACATGGTCGACCATCTGGTGAGCAATGCGACCATTGTTCTGGAGGACGTTGTAATCTTCGGCTCCGCTGGCGGCAACGAGTTTCTTGACGACAGGCTGGTGGCATGCTATTAGAAAACTGACGACTGCCAAAGAATTGTGAGGTAAGACATACGAGAATCTCCGAGAGGTGCTCGTCAGGGATATCAGCAAGCTTGGCACCGTGGTGCTTGGGAATGACGAGCTGTACAGATGTTAGTCAATGGTTTGAAAACATGATTTGCTGGAATTCGAAGCAACTGCTCACAGCATGACCGCGACTAAGCGGGTTGATATCGAGAAAGGCCAATGTCTTGTCGCTCTCAAAGAGCTTGAAGCAGGGGATCTCGCCTGTATTGGGGAGTCAACATCATGATCACGTTGATACTGCGGGGGTTCGGAGATGTATTGGGATCAGGTACTCTGGTAACTTACCCTTGATAATCTTGCAAAAGATGCACGAAGCCAGGGTGGATGTCATGATGGGCAGAAAATTCTTGTCTGCACAGGGGTGAGTGACAGATTTGTGGCAATAGCCTGGTCTCAGAGTGATTTGGGAGGCAGACGAGTTGAAGTTGGCAGATATGGACAATACCTTCGAGGGGTTGAGCTCAATACAGAGGAAGTACGCGAAGAGCGGGGGTACGGAAGCAGAGTGAAAAGAGTGGGTCGATTTGGGGAAAGGGTACTTAGAGTGCAAAAATGGGTGGAAATGTCGGAGTGGGACCTCCTATCGAACTCACCTCTTGCCTTTTACCAGATGTGACCGTTGGATGGCCCAACAGACTCCATTCCACCAATCTTTGGACACTTCTCATCTGGAACACCCAGGTTCGACTTTTGTTTTGCCATATTTTTGGATGCTCCGTTCAATTGCATTGGACCGTGCGATAGCAAAACATATAACCAGCCTGGTCCTAATGCGCATGCAGCTACAGTTGTTGCGCAGAGGAGGAAAAAAAGCACACAGTCAGCCGATGCTTGAACATGCAGCCTTGAGGCTTACTGCGCAGCTTCCAGTGCTGCCCAGCCCGAAGCTCCGCAGCAGCTCGAATTGGCGACATGATCCCTGGCCGCTCCGTCGTCATACCCCTCCATCCCCCTCTCCGTTTTTCCAGCCACCCCACCTCGAATGAGGCAGAGTAAACTTGGACGAGCCTCGCTCGGCACCTGCAAAACCCCACGCAAGGCAGCCAGCTAGTGCCCGCCGTTCGCTCTTTGGTGGTAATCTAGTCACTGTCTGCTTCATTGTTCAACTCTGTGATACCCGAACAGTGCTTGTCAAATCAGCCTGTTCGTTTGCGCCTGACCCAGTGCCTGATTCGACCTCTGTAACTGTTCGACTTCGTCCTCGCAATCGTTGCCTGCGCTCTTCCACTTTTACATCACACTCTGACGGAGCTATTTTGCGACACCCGTTACTAGCGACTTCACGTACGACTACGAAGCGACATGACCCGGTACAGGAGCACTCCCCTGTACGGCGGCGCCCTGGTCTGCGACTTGCCAGAGAAGTTTGCCGACGTGAGGTTCGTTCCGCTCCTATTGCGTCATTATGTAAGCTCAAAACTGACGAGGTCGTCCCGTAGCAAACTGCGCGAAGTTCCCGACAACCAGGAAGTCTGGATCGACCAGGATGGGTTCACCAGCATCATCTTTGACATTACTGAGCGCGTCGGTCCCGCCGGCAGCAGCCCCGAGATTGACGGTCGCGCCATGACAACGCATCTCGAGGAGCTTGTTGGCGAGGACATTGATACCGTCAAGGTCTGGAACACGACCGAGACATCCTTTTCACGACTTAGGTGGGTGGCTATCTCTGCCAGGCTCACATTTTCCGTTCGCTCTGCACGAAGATTCCCACTGGCGCTCCTCCCTATCACCACGGACGGCAGCTAACACGGTGACACCCCTGAGCAGCACCGAGGTCCCCGCGTACACCCTCATCGCGACGCAAACCCCAAAGTCCAAGTCCGGCTCCGCGGCCCCTGACTTTACTGCCATCATCCTCACCTTGCTACGCCTCGAGAAAGAATCCACCGACATTCTCATCACCATCAACGTGCCTCACATCAAGGGTGAGTACAACGAGGAGGACGTCGACCTGGAGCTGGGCAAGCAGGGCAAGCTTATTGGTGACGCCGTTGAGTATGCGGCGCGCATCTGGGAGACCTTCAAGGTCAAGGACTGGACTCTGTTCGCCGAGGTCTAGGGGCAAATATTTCTCTTTCTCTTTGCGAGCGCAAAGTTTGTGAACGGCCCGATGGCGGATGATACGAGCATATCTGCGCGGGATACCTGAACGAACGAACGAATGGGCGGAACGGTCTCTACATTGTCATTTTTGACGGGCGTTAATTGGACCCGGCGATTTGTATGCGAAGAATGTCAAATTGGGCATATGGTATGCCGTCCGGCCGGCTCTACCTGACGAACCCCAACGCATCACACAGCGGAATATATAGCTATCCTCACACTGCGTGTATTTGTGCCAAACCGTCGTCTGGTCAGAGCTTGATACTATTGAGGCGAGCTCCGACGTTATCAATACTCGCCTCCGCGCTTTCCGTCTCAGGGGTTGCACGATTGCTCCCACCTCGCTTCGCCCATCGATCGGCGATGATCTTCATGACCTCCTTTTGCGGGCTTTTAGGGTGCTCTTGCTTGACTATCTTCATCTGCTCTTTCAAGAATTGTTGGTATTCGGATGGCTTCGCCGCTGCTCGTGGCTCGGGTTTTGTCTGCTTCAGCTGAGCCTTGCAGGAGCCGCATCGGTGGCGCTCCGGATTGATGCTTTTGGAGTGACGTTTGTATTCCAACCCACACTCGGCACACTCCCATATGTACTTGAAGTCGATTTCGTACGAGTGCTTGGTCGTGACCTCGATGCCCCTGTCTCCAAAGGTTTGCGAGCATTTGGCCGCCCAGATCTTGAATTCTTTGCCATGCGGATTGCCTGTGATGCCGTTGACCATGAAGTTTGCCAGATGACAGAACTCGTGGGCGACGACGTTGAGAAGACGGTTCTCGTCGTCGATAACCTTCTCGGCAAGCTCGATAGAGGCGTGGTGACGATGAGTAACGGACTGTTCGATGCCATCGGCTACTTTGCGAACAGTCTCCCGTCGCCAGTTCGCTCTACCAGCGGTGGTGTTGAGCTTGGCTGACCACTTAATCTGAACTCCTCCTGTGGATTCAGCCAGGGACTGTAGCTTGCCCTGCGTGATGTTGTCGTCAAGTTCACGCAAGAATGCCTGTGCCAAGTCGTGTTTCGTCTTCTCAAACGACTTCTTCGTTTCTTTCTGCTTCGCTGCTTCTGTTTTGTTCGTTTTGGCTTTTGCAGCGCTCTTCGTTGGGCTCTTCTGCGCGGGTGGCAGTATGAGCTTTTTCGGGGAGTGCTCCTCGTTCCATTCGTCAACAAACTCTTGGCTCCAGAACAGGTCCATGCTGGGTCCGTGGGGGGTCTTTGGGATGGCAGGAAGCTTCTTGGGGGAGAGCAAAGTTTTGCTAGTCAACTTGGGCGGTGTTGATGGCGGTGTTGCCTGCGGGGCGTCTCTGCTTTTGTTCTTCGTGTCTTGTTTCCTTGACCGTGTACTGTCACTGTAGTGCGTTAGTGGTGGTCGTCAAGGTTGAATGGGTTATGTAGGCCTACAGATCAAGGCGACGCAGGGAGTCGGTCACGTCGTCTGTCAAGTCGATCACAGTCGACTTTGGCCATGTCTTTCCCCTGACCAAGGTTTTGTCGACACTGCTCTCCTTGCTTGAAGCTCCTCGCCGAGGTCTGTCGCCGCTGAAAGGCTTTGGTTTTAGCATCTCGGCATCTGGTGTGCTTCTGGACGCTAGAAGATCTTTTGCCTTTGAGCTGCCCTCCTCACTTCGAACCGCCCGGGGGCGACTTTTGGGAGCTGGCTCTTCTCGGTCAAATTGGGATGGCGTGTCGTCATCATCCTCAATCTCAGAGAGGGCGTCGTAAAAAAATTCTGAGATATCAGCCTCGGTGATCTCGGTCGCGTCATTGGTGCTATCTTCTGAGCATTCTTCCGTTGCCTCGACAAGGGGCTTCGCCGGTGATGTGACCTGGTCCCGAGCTCGCAGCTCACGCACCTTTACGCTAGTTGTTCTCTTCGTCTGTGTCTTGACCTCCAGCACATTTTGTCCCTCGTTCGCTCGACAGGTCCCGAATCGCTTCAGAAGCGGGTTGTCCGATTGCTGGCCAAGCCTGCGACGCCGCGCTGTCGACGAGGGTTTCGAATTGTTCTGCTTCTGCTTCTTCAAATCGAGCTCATCTCCCTCACTTTTTCTTGGTTCGGTCGTTTTCCCGGTGCGTCTCGGAAGATCATAGCTGTCGATAACAGGCTCCTGTTGCGGTGTTTTCGCCTGGCGCTTGATCTGTTTACTCCTCTGGAAGATTACGTCCAGATCAGGGAACTCGTCTTCGCTGGACGAGGCAAAATAGGTACGTCCGTTCATGGCTAAGAGTTAGTTTCGTAGGACTCGGAATGAACTTCATATGCCGCCTGAGTCTCGGTAGAGTTAGCTTTGCACGAAATGGCTGCATAAGAGCCGCATGGTCGATCAGCGTGTGTCGTGGTTGCGAGGGGCAACCAGCTGTTCAAAACCGGCGGTGCCCCACCTGCTGGAAAAAGTCGTTGGAAACCACGCACGGTGTTGATGAGAACAGAGGTACAGCACGTGACGCTGGCGATGATTTATCGTTGTTAGTACCTAGTGTTTCGATGTCAAGCCAGACCTTGCGAGCTGCACGAAAAAATGCGCCAACGAAGATTGCGATTGCAATTCTTGGTGAGAGTTAGCAAGCACGAGGAAACAAGCAGACCGAGCACATCCCAATCAGCCCAACACAAGCCAGTCTCACCAGAACGATCTAACTATTTAATGCGCGCTGCGTGTCATTCGGGATTGTTGCAGCAGCGTCTCTCATGTCGCTGGACCAACATAGGCCTCGTCTCAGTCTGTTCTTGACATCGACTTGGGGAAAACAGGCGGTTCGGACCAATATAGGCCGTGTTCGAGATCGAAGAGGGTTCTAGCCTCCAGGTAGATTGACAAGCTCCGGGACCCCTGCGAAGCTTGATGTGATACTTCACAGCCTTTCGGCTGGGAGCATCGCAGTTCTTCCGCGGCCGGAGGGGACCTCAGGAACGCCCAGACTCGAAGGCTTCAGCTGATCCAAGGAGGGCGAAAGGAAAGACGTTGCCCAATCCCGCGACTCTCCGGCGTAAGCACTGTATAGTACGGATAGGACATCATTACTTTTGTAAAGGAGATCAGACGAAAGCAAAGCTGCTATGTCATCCAGACGATCGACACAGACGGAAATTTGTAGTTCTCTCCCACAATTAAAGTACGAACGATTGCGCAGTTGCAGAAGTGGCAAGTCAGCATCGACACATAAGGTAAGCAAGGAGGCACTTAAATGAGGAATTCCAGCACGCGAACCCCTGGACTGATACCGATTTGTAGCAGGTGCAAGCCAGATCGTTCACGGGTCGTCCGGCTTCTGGGGAGGCACGGCCGCGCGCGGGAAGCACGGAGGATGGGCATGGTCTAGGGCGTTTGCGCACGAATTGCAAGGTCAAGACTCAAGAGAGCATGTTCTAGGTTTGGATGTTCAGCACATGCTCCAAACCCCCCTAAGTTGGACGAATGTCTCGATCAATGTCGACGCTTGGATACAAGACAGACTGATATAGGGCGGTCTTGTGTGGACAAAGGACAAGCAACGAGTGTCTCTCCCCGAATCAAGTCGCGTGGCTTGAAGGGCAAGCGGACAAAGGAATGCACGAATACCCCTGAGTAACGCCTTGCCCACCACCCAACTTGAGTGAGATGGAGGGCCGCCATCAGCCGTTGTCGGATGCCCACAGGTCCGTGGCGACGGTCGACTTTGCTTTTCTAGTGCGACTTGTACCTACTGTGTAATGGGAGGCCAGGACATAACCACAGTTCCATGCGTTGACCTGCAGCTCGACTGGGTTTTAGCCTCATTCACAGACTGGTTGACTGGGTCTTCGGCTCTTGCTGAAGGCGAAGTATTCGTACTGACTCAACCAGAAGGGAGGGAGAATGGCATGGGACGGGAGGGAAGAATTGAGCGCATCGCATCTGTCGACATGGGGCTATGATGTCAATTCGTCGAAGAGCAAGCGGAGCAGTAGCTGACGGAAGTGCCGTGAGAAGTCGATTCGCAGTCGGCAATGCTACCTCTTTGAACGGCGGTGGTATCAATCTCGGTTTTCGGTTTGATGCCGACGTTTTTCCAACAAGACGCGATGGACATTGGTCGCGGTACCCATCCGTCGTCCTAGGGGCTACTAGAACGGCGTGATCGAGATCAGGATTGAGCAGGCAGAATCCAGGGCGAAGTCTCGGGCGCAAAGTTGTATCGTAGAGCGGCTGGCGCTGGTAGCGGGGCACGCTAATTGGCAATGTGACAAGACTGAGGTGCAAGAGACGAGTGAGTGCCGTGCGAAAGGAGGAGTCAGCATGCAGCTACAGGTACTAGAGTGATATTTCTTACTGAAGTGGCGACTGAGGAAGTGGGTGGGTGGACGTGTAGATGACGGCATCGTCCACTACAACCGTTCAGCGTCTTCGCTGGCATCTGGCACCAGGTGCACTCAGAAAAGAAATGACAGACATTGGGAGGGGCCGACGCTAAGGCAGCTCAGCGCTCTGGTCCACGCTGGTTGACTCGTTCGGAGCCGGTACCTGCATCCGACAACGCATCCCCCCCAAGTGGGCTCACTTTTGATTAGCCCTCCAACCCCTCCTCGGTGCTGTGCTTCTTCGTTTCTCCGCCCATGGAATTCGCCCCAAGCTGACGGATAGAGCCCTCGAAATCTCCGGACCCCGGCCAGCGAAGCTTCGATCCAGTGGATGCTGCACTTATTTGTCTCCTCGTGCTGTGCCCTGCCTCGCGAAGGGATCGCAGGTCTTCTGGAAATAAATAATGGGTCATCATAGAAGGCAACACAAGTTGCTTTGTTGAAGGCGGGGCGAACGAGGGGCGGAGATGGCTGCCAAGCGGCCTCAGCCAACCATCAATCGTCTGACGGTCCGCCGTGTCTGTGGTTGGTGCTGTAAATTCTATAATCTGTGTTTCCTTTGACCGCGTTGCCCACTCACACACTAGACGGTCACTACGTCTAGTGCATAGTAGTGATCGGCCGAAATACTGTCAGTTAGGTAGGTAGTTGTGTTCCAAGATAGGTAGATCAGGATGTCCAGGTGCCAAGACGAGAGTACGAATACTATTCGAGTTCAAATCTGGATGGTGGCGAAGCGAACCACGACACGAGCTGCAGGCGCGAGCAGCAGGGCGCTGTACGGAGCACAATACGAGCGATGCAAGCCGGAACAACGAACGAGCTCGTGTCCGTGAAGAGTGTTGGGCCTGCGAAGCCACATACAACATACACATCAGATGTCCTCCAGAAAATGGAAGACGGATACCCACGCTGATTCGCTGTCAACAACTATTAGTGGCTGGTCTTTACCAAAACCTGCTTTTTCTTGTCTGCGAGGCTCCCACCATCTATTAAGCTGTACCGTGACGATTACGTCTGACCTCGCGCCCGGGCGTGTTAATCATTTGTGCTGAATTCAACCATATCTCCGATTGCGAGTTGCAGCTGGCAGTTGCTCAGACGAAGGGTCATAACCGGAACGATCCAACTCAATTGCGTATCGAAGACCGAAAAGCCGGGTGTTTTGAGCCCAATCTTGTGTATACTGTATACCAGGTCTGATAGGACCAAACACCACAGACGTGCGGCTCATGTCGTAGTGCGTGCGGTGCATGCTTTTCAACGCGCGATGTGTTGAGACGGGATGCAAGGGAAGCCATGTTAGTACACGTCCGATTTCAACGGCCTGTGACTTTCTTGCGTGTTATCTTAACTCTGGAGAGTTGATCCAAATTGGCCGTCCTGTTTCCTCAATCTCGGGGGCTGGGGGTAGGCTGAAATGGGCTGACATGAAGTTGAGGTGAATCGAGCCGAGGCGAAGTGAAGCAATCGTCTCGCCTTGACCTGACGGTGTCCTGCCCGAAGAATAGCGAGAATTTCGGTATGGCTGTATATGCACGGAAGGCGACGGGAGGTGTCTGGGATGGGATAGGTACTGGGATACATGCTCTGAAGCGGCGTGCAACGCTCCAGCACAGAACCAAGGATCAAACGCCAAACACCAGACGCACCCGCGACGAGACGAACCCTCTCTTCCTACAGCGGTAGCCAATCGCCAAACGTCTAGGTCGCAAGTTGGAGATGACCTTGGCGTGATCCTGGTCCAGCAAGTACCGGAACGTCCGGCCTCATGCTGAGGAACCCAGGCACCTCCCCTGATTCCCCTTGCCATGGATCTCGTCCTCCGCCGTGCGTGCCTACTAATTCCAAGTTCCAAGACAGTGACATGTTGTGTCAGCGGCCAATGAACAGGACTAGACGCAATGCGATTGGAAAAGACGCACTGTGAAGCAGTGATCCTTGGACCACGACCGCGGCACCGTGGCGAGGGGCCTCTTGCTGTGCCTTTGCCCGTCCAGATGCCATTTGGCAGATGGTCAGAACTCAGATAACGAACGCTAAATCTCTACCGGCTGGCAAGGCCAAGCCTCGCTGGCGACGCGTTGTGTCCCTGTCGGTGAAATACGGATATACACCTGGCTGGCCGGATGCTTCAAGACGTAACAAGATCAACTCAGCCACAGGCAGACAAATGCGACAGCACCAGCGGAGGTCAACCTAGCTAGTCACGCGCGTTCAGGACGATGACAGGAAAGAGTCAAAAATATAGCAAAGGAAACCAATAGCGCAGAACAGGGCTAGAGTGCAGAAAAAAAAAAGGCAAAAAGTCATGTCCGAGTCGGTCCAAGGAATGTTCGAGACTGGAGGGGGTTGATGTGTTGCCAGACGAGTTCATGAGCAACGACGACCACATAATGGGTGCTGGCACTTGGCTCGCCTGACAATGAAGGTACCGCAGTAACGTGCCTGTGGGCCTTTCCGCAGACAGTTTGCTTTGTGACTGCATACCTACTTACTACTGTGCCTTCAATCTCTGCCTTAAGGTAAGTAGGTATGTAGTAAGTAGGCACTGGGCACGCATACTGCATAGTAAGGTACCTTAGGTAGTGTACCTAGGTAGGTACTTACTGCATGAGGTACCTAGTGTAGTGAGCCGGTGGGGCTGTGCCAAAAAAAGCCAATGGTGCCTCCCATCGTTCCAGTTCCTCCAGGCTTTGCTGCCCTGTCATCCCCCCTGTCCAGGTCCGAGGCATCCCGTCCCTGCTTTGGCACTGGCGCTGCCAGTCCAAACCCAATGGCTCCCTGAGATGCTTTTCGTTTCCTAGTCGAGAACGGTGAGTGCTTGAATGTGATTCTGCGCAGCAGAATTGGCATGCAATTCAACACTTGCGAGTAGGAGATGACGAACAATCCCCGGGC